GTAACCTTAACTTGTTTCGCAAGCAAGCCTTAAACCCTATAATGCAGCGTGTGCCCCTGTTTGGAGAAACCTCAACTTGCACTTAAAACCCTACACCCGACCCTAAACCCCACCTAACTGCAGGCTCGAAGCCCAAAGCATACACCACAGCCTTATACCTTGTAAAACCCAAAACTCAGAAGCTTAAGCTAGACCCAAAACCCCAAAACCCTCCAAAACCCTCACAACCTCCTGGAGAATTGTTTTTTTGGTGTTTGGTGTTTTTGTTGTTGGGTTCTTTGTTCCTTTTGGCTTTCTTGGTTTTCTTCCTTAGGTATACTGACGCGCGAGTACACGAATGACGTCGGCCCTGATCATCTCTTTTCCGGGGCGTAGAAAGCAGTGTTGACTATCCGGCAGGCAAGAATTGAAGGAAATAACGGCTTTAGGCCGGTTCGCGTGCCCAGCCTTTTGGGCCTTTTCATGACTTGCAGATACGGTCCTCATGAAGCACTGCGTGGATTATGCCTGGCTCCAGGGGTCTTCCTAAATAAGAACAAAAACCAAAACATACCAAAAACAGCCAAACAAAAACAATATCAACAAGCCAAGAAAACCAATACAAAAATATTCAAAAACATATTGCGGAACTCTTTGCAATCATGCGCACTTGTGAAAGAGTTCTGGATATTGTTGTTTTTTATATGTGTAATTTTTTTGGTTATGTTGGTGATGTTTTTTGCTCATTTTGAGAATTGGGTTTACTGTACTGGTTCTGATCTGCCTTGTCTCATGGCTCTGCTGGAGCTGCCTTGTTCGAGTCCAATATTAAATATTGCTGATCGTATGGCCTTCCCATAGCATCGCATTCCCACACAGTGATAGATTCATGTGTTAACAAATTGATATATCAATATAGTTAATGTAAGGGAACAATAGTATATTGGTACACGTGTATATAATTGTTCTTTCTATATTGGTACACTGGTGCATGAGCACAGTAGTATATTGGTGTATTAATATGTCTTTATATTAGCATATCCGTACATTAGTTCATTAGTATATTATTGGTATACCAGTATATGTACTATACTCTTATATTATCTAATATTGCATAGGTATATCAATATGTTGGCATAGTAGTATATGAATATGTGCGTATGCTTGCGTATTACACTATTCGTATCCATCAATATTTACGTAAATATTGATATTGGTATAAATATTGGCATTAATTACTAGTATTAGTACTAGCATTAATGCTAATATGAATGTGGTGATTTGTATTCGCAGGAATGTTTGTACTAGTATTACTCTTGACTACATCAAAAATAGTAGCATATTGATATATGAATGCGTTATAATATATTTGTACTTTAACATATTGGTATGCATACGTATGTACTTTAGAACCTGCATGTGCGTATCAGTATTGGCATTAATATACGTACTAATATCACTGTGAATATGATTATTGGTATGCACAGAGGCATGAATGTTAATATTAACATTGGTATTATGCATAGTCGTGTTAGCCTTAAAATAAACGTTAACATTAGTACAATCGTCTTGGGTTGAGTATTCAACAGTTTATCAATGTCAGTATTAGTAGTGGTGACAGTGTCACTATTGACAAACATAGGAGTATATGCGTTGCAGGAGTGTCGACACTTATATAAATACTGATATTTGAAAAATACGGGCATTGGATTAGCAAAAGTATTAAATTAATCGAATTTTCATATTATGATGACTTGTGCTCGCAGCAAAATTCGGAAAAGCGTCAAAACCCTGGGGTTATGAAAAGCCAATAAGCACTGGGCACATGATCCGGCTTAGAACCATATCGGCTCCTGCCTCATCGCACGAAGCAGCTTCATCAATATACTATGTGGTACTACGACGCCATTATTCGTAATGTGTGCTTTCGCAGGGGGGGACTTCCCGCCTGGAACCTTCATATTGTTATAGTAACAACCGTGTTAACAATACCATAACGGAAATAAGACTGATTGCAACAATTACGTTAAAGAAGTGTTACTACAATCACAAAAACAACGGTGACAATTGAAATGACATGAAGGCCGTTCTCAATCAGAAAGGCCTTGAGCATCTGTATGAAAATCTGTCCTAAGACAAGCCTCATGAGCATATGTCGCTTCGTTTTGGGTGTTCTGCACATATGCGTCCACGTAGTTTTCCATGTCACGTGTGTTGCCACAGAGACCGCTCGAAGCAAAGCATGCTTGTTCTGCTGCATCACAGGTAGCAACGAAGAAGTAAAAAATGCTTATCTTGTGCGTATCTTCCCACGCCACAACAGTCCCCTCTCCAGAAAAGATAGCCATATAGTGTCTTATAAAAAGTGTTCTATAGGCATGTGTAATATAATAGTTGCGGGGTGTATCATAGGTGGTCTTGTATACGGTATGCGACAGAATATTCCAGATGGATTTCTATAAGATATAAAGGTTATGATAGTGGAATGTTGCAAAGTATTCTGAAATGTAACCTAAAGGGTATTATATCGGTGAAATACAAGGTATTGCACCCTGCAAATGTCGATAGATTTCGTGTTCACGGACATTGTCCATAATCTCGATGCGCCTTATATGTGGGAGGTGTAGAAATAGAGGGCCGTTTTTCAAATCTATACTTGTCGTGATACTATGTTAAATGAGATGACATATCTTTGCTTCCCTGCTGCCTGGTATTTTCAGAGCCCATACTGCTGCATGCAAAAACCTATTTACACAGAACATGCATGCAAGCTTGCGCTCTTTTGCGACACGAGAAGAAGTCGTACGCGAATGTATGTCGCTTGGAAAAACTCCGGGTGTATATGAAGGATATGCAGAATCTAGAATCTGCGAAATCTTTGATCAAGTCGAAGCTTATTTAGCGAAGAACTTATAAAGAGAACGGAATAAGTTGTAGAATATCCACTCTTTCGCATCCGGTTCTCAAACACACGAAGAAGGTGGATCCTTGCGGAGGGGGGTAGCATATACATATATGTGTATATACACATATATACATATATATATATATACATATATATATGCATGTAAGTATATGTGTATTACGCATATGTATTCACGGTGCCGGCAAAGCTTCCCACCTGCCTCGATCTACAGGACTTGAACACCGTGATGCAAAACCAGCAAGATCTCGTGGAGGTTGTGGCTTCGGAAGGCTGCCCTGCGTGCTTTCCAACTCGGATGGGCAGGTAGTGCATCATCTCCAGCCAGCACCTAAGGTATGACTGAGTAAGCGTGCGTTTCTTTGCAGCGCTGAGCTTGAGGCCCCTCATCAACATGAAGGGCTGGTGAAGGACAACCCAGGCCTTCTTGGTGACGGCACACTCGAGCTCCAGCGACTCTAGTGCCGGCCGCCTGTGAAAAGAGACATTTAGGGCCACATGACGTGATGTCAGAAGCGAAAGGGACAGCGTGCAGCTAGAATGGAGCAGTGGGTTGAGTCCTCGGCTCAAGTCCGCTCGCGAGAGATCGCGGCAGTGCCGCCGTCATGGCGGATGCCTCGGCGGCGCGACGGGTGATGGACTGGGGAAGGGCGGATCTGAAGGGCCGCGGCGCGACGCCGCAGTGCGACATCCCTTCTCCAGGAGCAGAACATGCTCGACATGAAGCTGGAAGAGACGGGTGAACGAGAGCAGCTCAAGCAGTGACCAAGTGGTTTGTGCAGTTTCGAAACCTTTAGAATCTGGAGGATTGAGGTGCGTGGAGCTTTGCTGATCATGTTGAGATGAGGCTCTGACTATTACAGGTACATCATCAGCCACCTGAACGAGTGTGGATGGCGGGAGGCGCTGCGTCCGACCCTCCTGTTGCTTGATCGAAAAAATTCGAAAGGAGTGCAAGAGCGAAAGAGACTTCCCGGTCTTGCAGGAGCTGAAAAAGCAGTGCGTAGAGTTCATTCAGAACAAGGGTGTGGAGAAAGTGACCCTCGAGGTGGGGGAGCTTCCGTTGATCCGGTGACCACACGTCAGGGTGTCGGCAGGTTCTGCTTTCTCCAGGATAGATGCGATCCCGTGAATTCTGACCATTGCCTGGAAGGACATGATCAACGACATCGCGCCAAAAGGTCGAGCGTCTCTTCCCGAGAAGCTGAAGGTAGAGGTCTTCAACCGGTTGAGGCCAGGAGCCCTTTGTATCCGGCTATGCCTCTGAGCCTCGAGCAGGACCTTCGCAGAGAAGCAGGGCATGCAGCACTAGTATGACTAGTCTGCTGTGACGTGTTTCACAAGAGTCACGAGTCTCACCAAGGCCCATCACGAGCAGAGTGGGTCAGCACGAACAGTCCAAGTGGTCTTTCAAGTCACAAAAAGGGTGCGGATATTGCAAGAGCTTCTGCATGACCTTGCGCGCGCGCGTGTGTCTGTGCGTCTCTGTGTGTCTGTGTTGGTGTTCGTGTCTGCGTGACTGTGTTTGCCTGTGTGTCTGTGTGTTTGTGTGTTTGTGTGTCTGTGTCTCTGCGTCTGTGTTCTGTGCATCCTCTGCGTCTGTGTGTGTGTGCGTGTTTTTTAAGATTAAACACTTCTGGGCAAGGACTCTTTAGCTTTTGGAAGCCTGCGTGTGAGCTGTGAAGGTGTCCACAAAGTTGGGATGTGCTGCTGAAGGCTGCAGGTCGCACGAAGTATGCTCAAGAGCAGCAGTGACACAAGCGTCCATGTCTCGAAGCGACTGCTGCTGTCTTGGCAACACTCAGTCTACGGCTGAAGAAAGTTTCCCGTGGCCCCGGTTCGGTCTCGGGGTGTTGGCTCTGATATGTCTGGACGTCTAGATGTGGGAAAAGTGTGACATCGCTGAGCTGCCATTTAAGTTTACGTGCACAGGAAGCCGCAAACACCCATCACCCCCATGAAGCGCTTTCAGATTTGAGGTCAGCCGTTATGACAGGCTCCCCACGGAGACAAGTGAGAGATGCTAAAGCGGGTCATTGACGGCTGCGAGCATTCATGAAACTGCGAGGGTCCTCCACTCCCGAAAGGGCATGGTGGGATGGAAGTTTCTGGCGAGGCAGGCGGAGTGTGAGAGAGACCATTTACCTGCGCAGACATGGAAGGCACATCAGCTGCTGGCAGAGGCCGAAATCTATGGCGCCCAGCCTGCAGGAAATCCTAACAGAGCAGGCCTTCTCCCTTTTCGCTTCTAGGTCGGCAGCAAGGTCGCAGCCGCAGCACCAGAAGTTCGGCGAGGCGTTGAGAACGTGGTGCTTGGCGATTCTTTTTGTGTGGGATCTCCAGGGACCTGCTCGCCGGCAAGATCGCATCCACAGAAGAGAGGTGCAGCGAACATTGACAGCAGACCTGACTCAACACGAATTCAAGAAGCTTCCAGCACGTGGCCTGCACTGCCGCACTGCAGTCCAGTCCAGAAGCCAAACCGCACTCCGACACGAATGGTGGATATTTGCGCAGAACGCAAACTTCTAGGCAAAGCTTCGGACTCGGATCGGGCCCCGCCCGCCTGGGTATTTGAGCTGAGCCAGGCTGCGGATGGTCCGGCAGCGGAACGAGGCACTCCAAGTCTTAGCCCGCAACCTCGAAGAGGCACGCCGATCCCCGCTTTGGATAGACCTGTGTCTCACTGGTGCTGCAACGTTCTGCGATTTGCTTCCAGAGAGGCCCTGAAGAGCTGCAGGCGGAACCAGGCCGTGGCACTCGCGACGCGCCTGCGCCTGAGCGGCGGGAGAGCCGTGGGAGGCGTCGCGGCTTTGGGGGCTTTGATCTTCCAGGTCTTGGGGGCGGCGGCCCGCTGCTCTTTTCTGGCTCCCGGAGCCCGCTGCCGCCCGGACCCCCGGATCGGCGGTGATCCCGCGGCGGTCCGCTGATCCGCGAAGCGAGGCGCAGCCTGGAGCTTGAGCCGCGGGAGCCTGGAGATGAAGCGAACTCGACGAGCACGAGCTCAGCGAAGGTGCCCAACTTGGGCCCACGCTGCTCAGCGCGAGAGCTCCAGCTCCAGCTCCCTTTTGGGCTTTGTCGCAGGATTGGCGCCAGCTGGCTCTCCGCATTCCCCGCATGCCCGGCTCACAGCGCTCCGGTCCTGGTTGCGAAGGTTTGGGCCCAGGAGGGGCTGAGGACTCGGGGACTGGTTCTCCGGTTCTCCCGTTGAGGCGCAAGGCCCTTGAGGCGCCTCTCGGGCCGGCGAAGGCGCCCCCCTCTCGGAAGCGGTTTCTCGAGCTCGAGCGGCTCTTCACTGAAGGTGTCTTTTACGTCTTTGCTCCTGCGGGTCCTCCGCGTGTGCCCGCAGGCGGAGAGGTGTTTTCTCGGCCTGCCCTTCGAGGAGCCCTTGCTGGAGCTTCTTCTCTGGTGCCCGGGAAGTTCTCTGACTAGAGCTCTGCAGCTCTGCGTGCCGAAGGAGTCCGAGGCTCTCTCCTGCGGGAAGCTTAGAGCCTCGGTATCAGAGTCACCGCACTGCCACCGCCTCGGCCGAGTCTGAGGTGACTCCCCCCATGCAGCCAAGGAGCGGAGACACTGTCGAGAGGAGTCTGTTGTGGATGCCAGTGACGCGGACTTCGGCATAGCACCCCGGCTGTCAGATCAGTTCGCGGAAGCCTCGCAGAATCTCCAAAGCAACATGAGACATATGGTATCCGGCGCACGGGCATTTGCGCTGTCCAACACTAGTCGTGTTGGACATGATATGGGTGGGATCCCGATTCCAACTCCAAAGGCTGCCGTCCTCCATTCGCATTTGGATGGTGTGCGCAGCGCCCGGCTGACCCGGCGTCGGGACCCGAGCAAGAGTAACACAGTCTAAGTCTAGTGTCGTTTCGATTGACAGTTCCCAACAACAAGTGCAGTCAAAGGCGATGCTCAAGAAGATGCAAAGGGTACAGGGAGGACACTACCAATCTTCCCATTCTGTTTTAGTCGCTCCGGAGCAATGGCGCCCGCGTCCGGGGGGCCCCTCGCCCGTCTGCTATTTCTAGGGCTGTGGTGTGGCCTTCTTGGGCCCCTGCACTGCTGCCAACATGCGAGCCTCCACCACTTCGCTCACGGCCCAGCCTGCCGGCGCCCATCAATCGACAGCGCAGGCGTGAGCTCTGCAGCAGTGCTGGTCCAGTGCGCGGGCATGGAGCCCGTCAGCGATCTGGGTGAAGGCACAGTGGGTGCGACTCCGACAACACCGCCTTCGCACCCTCTTCCGCGGCTCGGCAGCCGCAACGGTGGTCGGGCTGGCCGTGGCATGGACTGCGTGTTGGGGAGGCCTCCCACCCGGGAGTTGATGGTGGTGCCCCGTGCCCTGCTGGTGGCCAAGTGGTTCCTACCCCGGTGCCGTCCAAGCCGCCCCTGCGCGCCAGCGGTCGCACTCTGGTGCGCCTCTGGACGACATGGCTGGCCTGCTCGCGGACGTCCCTGTGCTGAGGCATGTGCCTACAGCCGCACGTGAGGCGTGGGCGCAATGCCTCGCCCGAGCTCTGGCCGCCGTAGCGGCCTCCAACAGCCTTCAAGCCTGAGGAACTTTGGGGTGAAGCCTTGCCGCGACGTTGAGCTGCGAGGCAAGACGGCGACGAGTCTGCGAGACAGGCCCGCTGCCGCTTGCTCGCGGGTGAGGGCCAACGTTTGCGGGCCAAACATCCCCAGAACGCCCCTGCTCGCCCTGCTATGGTTCAGCTTGGTGCCCCTCCCCGCCACGCAGTGCCGGACCTCACTGTCCAGCAAGTGGTTGCGGCGACACGGGGGTTCACGCGGGGAACCGCTGCTGGGCCATCGGGTCTGCGAGGGGGCCACCTTCGAGAAGCTCTCACCAAACCCACTGCGACGAGGTGTCTACTCGCTTGACAGCGGTGATGCGCTGGCCCTTGGTGACGCGCCTGTTGAGCTGGCCCCTGCCCTGCATGCCTTGCCCAAGGGCGTGGATGACCTGCGCCCCATCGCCGTGGGAGAAACGCTTCGGCGCTTGGTGGGCAAATGCTTGTGCAAAGCCTTGCGGGAGCCAGCTCGCCGGCACCGTTGGCCCCTGCAGGTTGGCGTGGCTGCTCCGCTCGGTGCTGAGGTTTCCGTGCACACGGCCCGCCAGTCGGCCCAGCGTAATGCTTGCAGTGCAGTCAAGGTTTTCGTGAAGCTGGACTTTCAGAACGCCTTTAATGTGGTTGACAGGGCCTCGCTGCTGCGGCAGGTCCGCCTGCACCTGCCGGGAATGGCATCCTGGGCGGAGTGGTGCTACGACCGGCACTCTCGTCTACTTCACTGCGGCAGTCCTCTCACGTCCGAGACCGGTGTTCAGCAAGGCGACCCTTTAGGGCCGGTTTTGTTTGCCTTGCGACGTCTACATTGCGGGCGACTTCAGGCACGCGGCCGCCACCGTCGCCAGGCTTGCGGCTGCGGGCCGCCAAGTTGGGCTTCAACTGAGGTCGGACAAGTGCGAATTCACCATTTTTCCGGCTGGCTTCAAGTTCAACACGTCGGTGTCTTTCAGTGTGCTCGGAGCCCCCGTCGGCCCGACGGCCTACTGCGAGGCCTTCACGGCCCTTCTTGAGGCAATTGGGTTGTTGCCGGACTCGCAGACGGGGCTCCTTCTGCTGCGCTACTGCAGCTCCTACTGCAGGATGGTGTTTGCCGCCCGGCGGTGACATTGCCCAGCCTCATCCCACAAAGTTTGCACTCCTTCGATGCTGAGACTCGTGCCTGTTTAGAGCGGGTGTGCGCGGGCCCGCGGTGGGACCAAGCTGGCCTTTGCACCTCGGCTGGGGGTCTGGGCATCCGGCATGTCCTCCTGCACACCGGGGCTGCCTTCGTTGCATCGTTGGTTGCTACGGCGCCTGGGGGCCCTACAGCTCGGCCATCTCCGACTTCAACCAGCGCGTCCTGCCCCGGAGCAAGTCACGCTTCCAGCGCCGCCCAACCTCCCGCAACAGGTGTTGTCACGGGCGCTGGATAGCGTGACTGCCCGGTCGGGGTCGGGAGGCTGGAGGCTTTCCGGGCACACTTCCAGTTGCAGCGTCAGTTGTATGTGGGGGCGCCGCCCTGCGAAGCACTGGGTCTGCACGTCGAGGCCCCGCTGTTCCGGATCATGCTTCGCCGCGCCTGCCACTTGTGGATGAAGCCATGCCCTGTCCACTGTGCGACGGTCTATAGCCAGCCGTGCCAAAGCCGCGGGGCTGAATCCGGAGGTTGAAGTGCACCCCTGCAAACGCACTCGCTGTGCACTGCCGCTCGTGGTTGAAGCTGCCGGGGGCTGGCACTGGGCCCCAGCGGCCCGACGCACGTGGAAAGAGCTGGGCGAGCTGCTGTCAGCGCGAACAGGCGAACCGGTTGCTGAGACAACAGAGCAGCCCTGGCGGTGACACTGCAGCGTGAAAACGCCCGGGCAGTGCTTCGCCGCCAGGGTCTGCAGGACTCCTACTCTCCTTCCCTGGACGATCCATGACTGGCCCCTATGGTGCCGCCGTGGGCCCGCCCTCAGTGCGGCCTCGCTTGTTTAGCCGAGCCGTGATGGCATCATGTGCGCGGCAGGCAGCTCCACCCAAGTTCCCTCTAAGTAGAGAGTCAGAGACTGCCTGTGGCTCACTGCAGTCTTTCTAGAGTCTCATTGCTTTGCTTTTCTCGTTGGCCTGCATCCACTCCAAGGGAAGTACAGCTCCGTTGTCGTGTGAGATGGCTGTTCAGGGTCAACGCTTTGTGATACGTTTCGTCGCTGCCAAGCAGTAGCAGTAGCGGAGTGGCCCCAGGAGCAATATAGAGATGGTGATGGAAGCAGAGCTTTGGGCTATGTTTGCGTACGTGCGGCGGTGGATCTCTTTTCTTGTTCTCGCAGTTGAGCTGAAGCATGTCATGCGCAGTCGACATGTGAATCAGTGAACATCCTCTGGGTGGCTCAAGTCGTGTGCCCAAAAAGGAGCGAGCGACGGATTCCGGTTGAGTTTTCTTGCCACTGTGTCGGTTCGACACAGTGGTAGCGGAGCTCGGTCGATCCTAAATCCAAAAGGACCTAGATTGGGAACTGGCTTTCTGATCGATAGCTGTCCTGTACCTTTATGGTGGAAACAACTTCAGCTGTTCTCGACCACGGCTCCCTGGATGAAGACCCTGAAGGTCCTACAGCGACTCCTCGCGAAACGGTTCCCGGCCCCGAAAGCTGCACAGCCTGAGCGCTTGAAGGAGTTCATGGTTTCTCGACAGGCTTCGGGAGGCAGATCGTGGCGGCCCAGCCGTGAAAGAGAATGAAGACGGCAACGCGACCGGCGACCGGAGCAATTCCGGCCCAGAGTCTTGATGACATGAAGTACCTGGCCAAGGATGTGGCATGGATGAGTGGGTCGAACAACGAAGAAAAGCTTGACGTCTTGATGGCGGATACGATCAACACCTTGGTGAAGGTCACCTACACCCTTCACCGTTCCAAATGGGAGTCCAACAGGGCTTTCTTCGCTCACTGGGACAACGCCGTGCGCAAGCTTCAGAAGCACCAGGTGAAGCTCCTTGAAGAGTACCTCGGCTTCTTCTTGACCGAGGCCGTGAGTAACGAACGACGAGCTGAAGCTTTTGCTCAACCTCACCCAGGGCCGTTCGCCAGATGATCTTGAACGAGATGGGTGTGGCCAACCCTGTGAACATTCAGGCCCGCCCCCCAACACCATCAACGAGATCGCGGAGGAAAGCCCGGAGGACGAGACCTCGAGCACGACCACAGCCACCGCCTGGAGACGAGCGGATCAAGTGTCATCACGGCGACGAGGTGGTCATCCTTCTGTGCCGCAAGGAAGGCCCCAACTATCTTCGGCAATTCCGCCGCGCCCACGCTGGAAAAACGCAAAACGAGCGGTGAGATTTGCTCCAGTGGATGGATCATCAACCTCATTGGAAGGACGCCAAGACCTGACCGAGGAGCAACGCAACTGCAAGCACCGCTACCAGACGGGCACCAGAAGCAATGGGTCACGGAAGAAGCGAAGCTGGAAGGATTGCGGCCTGGCATTGGGGATCACCAACGCCAATTGAGCTCTTCTGGGAGCACTCTCACTGGAGGATGATGCAGGTTGACCAACTTGGACGAGGGATGCCATCGACCCCTGTACGGAGCCCGCCGAGTCCCAAGGCACGTCCTTCGTCGAGCGTGCTTTCCAACCAATAGATTCAATAGGTAACTTTGACCGCCACCAGCTCGCGGGAAAAGCCAGAACCGACGATCAACGATCACGAGGAGTACCGGGAGTTCTTGCAATTCCAGAAGTTCGGAATTCCAGAAAACGAGATCCGGCAGCCAGACATCGTCGAGCCACAAGTGAACATAGGTGTCACCAAGGCCCGGGCCCCTCCAGGACGACATCTCCGGAGTGGACTGAAGCGTTTCGACCAGATTTGAGTGCTTAGATCCGAACTCTGAGAAAGCGCTTCTGGAGTTGAAAAAGCGAACTCTCCGAGATTGGCAACAGCCAAGCAAGAAGCATCTCGCCTACTACCAGTCCACGAGCAGGGCGATGCTCTCCTGATCAAGGCTGCTCTCGGTGAGCTCCTGGATCGAGCTCCCGTGGCCCTCGATCTCCTCTGTGTTCGAGTCCTCGATCGTCTCGCCCACGTAGCTTTGGTGCTGCCGCTGGTCCCGTCTCCGGATTTCTCCTTCCAAGAACTGAGACCGCGGTAAGAACCATGTTCCTGTCGGCCGGGGCGAGGTTCGCGTCTGTCGAAAGGTACCACCCTTGGGTGAAGGTGGGAAGAGGCTCCACGGACGAGGAAGAACTCAGAGCATGATTCCAACCACCTGACCATCCCCATGAGCTCCAGCTCCATCCATGGGCGCCCTGCTTGTTCCACCTCGTGGCCCATGCATCGAGGGGTTCTACACCTCAATCAGCAGGCGCCTCTGTCGAGGCCTCGGCCTCGGTGTCGCTTGCCGTGTTGGTCTCGCTTGCGGGCGTCCACTGGCACGTCCAGCCACCGTTGCCCTCATCATAGCTGTTGCACCGGCTTCCCATCCACTGGCCTGCAGCTCGGCTGGTTCCCTGGCTATCATAAAAGGCTTGACTCGCTTCAGTAGGCCTCCGTGCTCGTGATGTAATCGTTCACCCTTGAACGAAGAGGCGAGCCAGGAGGTCTATGAACTCATGCACACGAGGTTTTCCAAAGGCTCCCCAGTGAGCGATTGCTCGCAAAGAAGCGAGGCTTCTTCATCTTGGACAGAACTGCTTGCTTCGCCTGACCACGTGGGAATTCCTTGGCGCGAACTCCCTGTCAGCAGCGGATGGATTTTTAAGATCGGGAAGAACTTTCGGACCTTACGATTTCCCAAACGAGGCTTCATAGCAGTTTGGTTCAATGTCAGAACCTGGCATGCCAAGCTGGGCAGATCATTATCTATCATGATCGGGCGCTGGCAGAGAGCAGCGAGCCTGCTCAAACTTTCCTGGAAAAGCTTTAAGCTGAAATGCAAAGTTGTTGACACATTGGCTGCAAAAGGCCACGCGCTCCAATCGGGCATTGGAGCGGTACACTGGCACAGATTGCTATTTCTGGCAGAGTTCTGGCAGCATTGCATGGTATGATGACAGCTGAGAACTGGCGGCAGCCGTGGGCTCCGAAAGTTTATTCGTTGCAACGAACCAGCTGTCTTCCACGCCAGCTAATATTAGCAACAAAAGGACGGCTATAGATCTTGCAGTAGGTAAAATGATGTACAGAAGACCACCGGCACTATAAGGTGGATCCATACGAGAGCTATGATCGCAGAAACCGCGACGAAGGATCATCCCGGCCATTGTCCCCGACATGTCTTAAAGACTGGGTATTGGTCAACAGTTGAAGACGGCACGGCGTTGCAGCGCAAAGCGCTTGAAGGTAAAGAATGCCATCAGCTGTCTGTCCTTGGCATTGGAAACGAAGGTTTGGACCGGTGTGATTTCGATTGGCAGTTCCAAACAACAGGTGCAGTCAAGGGCGATGCAATCTTCTCTTTTTGTCTCCTCGGCTGGGTTGTTTAAGCATGTCATGTGCAGTCGACGTTTGAATCAGTGAAAATCCTCCAAATGATGCAAGTCGTGTGCGCAAAAGGAATGAGCGATGAATTCCGTTTGAGTTATTGCCATTGTGTCGGTTCGACACACTCGAAGGTGAGAAACTGGGATGGCATCGCGGAGTGTGTGATCGTTCCCCGAAAGAGATTTTTGGCCTCGGAGGTGCATTGCTCACGGCCGGAGAGGATGCATCCATACGAGCTCCTCGGTGGCAACTACTGCGCCCAGAGGGACGGAGATGTCAATTTAAAGCATGCAGCACCACGCTCTCCGAGGCTTGGGACATCACCGGAGTATCCAGGCTCGCTCAGTCATGCAATAACTATCCGGTCTGGGTTTGCCGTTTCGCGACTTTGGAGGTTGCAACCTGGATCGGAGCCCTATGAAGACCTCGAGCCTTTTGCGTCATACCGCCGCGGGGCGGCACGGGCGGCACCGCAGCGTAGCCCAGCCCGAGCGCAGCTGAGGTGCACACTCCGGGCCGGTGTTGGCTCTCGCGGTTCCGGCTTCCGAGGCCTCGAAGAATGCTCGCAGCGCAGCGGGGTCTAAATTGCGAGCCTTTTTCGAGGAAGAAGGAGAGCTCTTCTACAGCGGAGGCATGGACGGAGACATCTTCTCCTGGCATCTGCCTTTCGGCGAGAGAGCAAAGCCGCCTGCATCCGCGCAGACGCGTCCAGAAGCGTAGCCGAGGCTTCGGTCGCCCTCGCCGGGAGTGGAGGAGACGTGGGCGGGAACTGGCGGCTGTTTGGGAGCTGGCTGAGAATCAGGCGTAGGTACCGACATACTGTGTTTCTTATACTTTCTTATGGTTTCTGTCACTACGATATGGCATGTCTCTCATTGACTCCAGATTTCGTGCTGGAGGACTGCAGGCAGGTTGGTCAGCACCAAAGGCTCCGAGGGCATCGCGACGCTGTCCTGACCCCCAGATCACCTGCAGAGCGCTTGGATCCAGGAATTCATGCGCACGTGATGAAAGGTCTGGTGCCTCGACTTACAACAGAGACTTGGTCTGCTGGTGCATACCTGAACATCGAGATTGGCACTGTTCGCTTATACGGCTGTGTCCGATGACTCTCTTGCGAAAGGCCAGTGCCGGTGGTGACAAGATGGTGCTGCTTTGGAAGGCCGATGCACAAGCGGCCAAGTTGGGCGGGTTGCAACGTTTTCAATCTTGCTTCGCACCATCAAAGCTACTGTGTGTGTGTGTGTGTGTGTGTGTGTGTGTGTGTGTGTGTGTGTGTGTGTGTGTGTGTGTGTGTGTGTGTGTGTGTGTGTGTGTGTGTGTGTGTGTGTGTGTGTGTGTGTGTGTGTGTGTGTGTGTGTGTGTGTGTGTGTATGTGTGTGTGTGTGAGTGTGTGTGTGTGTGTGTGTGTGTGAGAGAGAGAGAGAGAGATTGTTTTCCAAGCACGGGTTGAAGCACAACAGTACACAGTGCTTCTTGGAACAAAGCAGGTCAATCCGGGTCAGCAACAGGGCTCGGAGCCCAATCGCAGTCTGGAGCAGCCAGCAAGACCCCTCAATAAACGATGGGGCTTGATCTCATATCTTGAGTCCGGCCCCTCAGGCGGCCCTGAGATGGCGGTTGATTTCGTATCTCAAATCCGCCACCCATCACATAGCTGCGATTGACCCCATAACTTAGATCCCTTTTCCCCTCACTAACGATGGCAGTGATCTCATGTCTTAAAACCCGGCCCCTCACTTGACGATGTTGATCCCAACTATTGCATGTCTTAAACCTGTGCCCTCGTCATTCGATCGGTTGATCCCCCACAGTAGGCGATGGCAGCCAACCCAATATGTCAACCTTGCCTCGTCTTCGCAATACAGGTAACCTTGCTTCAGGCAGGATAGGCTATTCTGGCACCCTGCACTCCCAAGTCTAATTCCCGTACTCAAGACCTTGACCCTAAACGCCAGATAGTGCATACACTAAACCTCAGATAGGCACTTTCAAACTCAAGCTTTCAAACCTTCAAACTTTCCGAACTTTCAATCTTTCCGAAAGTTGAAGCCTTCGAACTCTCAAGCTGCGTGTCTTTCAAGCTTTCAACCTTCGAACCGTTCGAACTGCAAACTTTCAAAATTCGTCTCAATCGTTCAATCTCGGGCTTGTCAAACTTTGAAACTCCAAAACTGTTCACTCTTTCAAACTCAAGCCTGGGAGGCGCCCCGTGGACTGCGTCCTCCATCTCGTCGCACGGCACATGTCGCCACGATTGCCCACGCTGTCATCCTGTTATTTCCTGTTCAAACTTCATACTCCAAACTCAAATTTTCAACCTTTCAAGCATCAACCTGCTAATTCTCCTCCAAACCTTTCAACGTCGGTACATCTGATACCTGCAAGCTTTTACAAGTTCGATTTCACTAAACCTGCTCTTGTGGCATCGATCCGTCTGCGAGTCTTGAGACATGTTGACTCCAGGCTCAGAAGGCTGTGAGTTCATGGACCTAACGTTACGAGGACTTCGGCTTCACATGTTTAGGGCACGAAGTGGGTTGCGTGATACAGAGACACACCAGAGCAGATCATCTCGGACCGTCGCGAGATTACATGATCCAGCTCATCGCAAACATCCAGCCCCTGGCTCACGGAGTCTTGGGCGCAAAACCGCTTTCGTGAACCGGTGCTACTTGGTGTTCGCATCACCTGTTAACATTTCCCGGAGTTACTCTCACTCACCTTGCACAACCCCCTGGATTTCCGCACTCCCTCTTATGTTTGAGCTACGATCAACTACGCCTCAGGATAGTCCGGGTAAACCATTCACGCACGATGTCGGCTGAGGCGGCTTGGTCTGCGAGCCACAGGCCTTCGCTGACATATGCAGCTGGGGTAGCTGATGGCATCAATCACAGTAGATAGTGCAGATCTGAACGTGATCGTTCTCGCACGAGCAGCAGCAACTTCGCCCTTCGCCATCCTCCTCGCGTTGTCGCGTACCGCAGAGGAACGGGGGGGCGCATGCTTCCGGCCCAAAGTTGGAGTTGGCAGAAGGCCCTCTTTAGAGTTCCAGACATCAGGCTTTGGAGCTGCCTCCAGCCGGCTTGGAGCACAGCTTTGGTCCGCCGACAGGCGCCTCAGCGTCTGCGAAGCTTATGGCTTATGCGGCTTACGCTCTTCTTTGCTTTGGGGATCCTAGTCCTAGCCCTGGCTCCTGGCCGCTCCTGGCTCTAAGCTCGGAATGCGAAGGCTTGGCTTGGGGTCCGCGTGACAAAGCCGTCCTGCTTTGCGCAAGCAGCCGCCCGGCTGCAGACCAGAACTGGCCGCGACAGCTGCAGTCGTGCAGTGCCGTGCCCTCCGTCTTTGTCGAAGGTTGGGCGGCGAGCTGCTGCGGAATGGATGTCGAGCCCGGAGCCCGTGTCACAGAGCCTCCTTTAAAAAGCGCCTCCCTTCCGCAAAGCTCCATTTCTTCTCTGGGAGGCGCGGAGCTCCGATTTACGGCGGCACCGTAACACATGAGGACCCGGCCACAGCTTTGAGCTTGTCTTGACAAAGTCAGCTCAGCACATGTAGAGACACACTGTTGAGTCCCTTTTGGGCCTTTTGCTCCGAGGACCCCGTGCTGTCCGGGCCTCAGAGCCCCGGCCCCGGGAACGCCTCACCCGCGGCGGCCGGAGCCCCCCGTCCCCCGTCCCCCCGTTCCGGAGTCGTCGCCGTAGTGAAATTTCCGATTCTGGCAGGTCGAAGTCGAAGTGGCAGTAGTTATAGTAGGAGTTCCGAGAAGACTTTATTTCAGTACTTGCAGCTGCTCTTCTCTAGATGTGTGCAGGTAGTGGGAGGCAGCACGGCCTTGAGTTTTGTTTTCGGTCTTCTTCTCGGTGTTCTTGTGCCGTCGCCCGAGGTGTCTCGCCTGCCACGCTCTTCGCGACGTCGCTGTCAGTCCAGCTCCGAGCTCCGAGGGCTCCGAGCTCTGGGCTCCGACCCACATTCTCCGGCCGGCCGCGCATTTCTAGGCGGCCACGGCGGCGGCCTCGCCCGTGTCTTCTGCCCTCTCACCGGGAGGCCTCCCGGTTTTGGACCCCGCCTGCCGCTGCCTCGCGTTCCCCACTCCAGGTCCTGCTGGAGGCTTCAGAGAAAGAACCGCTTGGCCCAGGCCAAGCCTGAGCGCAAACGCAGTGAAAGGCGAAAAAGGCCTCCCTGTGCCGCAAGGTGTCTTCCGTGGCCATGGATCCTTTTGGTGCCGGTCACGAGGTGGTCACCGCAGGTCCGCGGCGGGGGAGTTCGGCTGCCAAACGCGTCCGCAGCGCTCTGGGGAGCGGAGCCGAGGCCAAGACGGGTGTCTGGAGATCTTCGACCTGCGCCAGACAAGCCGCTGCATCCAAGAGGTGCGAGCCGAGCTGCAGCGCGTGCGCCGCGTGCGCCGCGTGCGCCGCGTGCGCCAGCCTCCGGCCTCTCCGTGTCTTATCGTCATCCTACTCTGCTCGCGAGTCTTTCACACTGTCCCTGTTGCATCTTCTGCATCGCCGCCGGCATTTTGCACATCATCTTCGATTGCGGAGTCCGTGCAAGTGTCACGGGATCTGGGCCCAAGCGCAAGCGCATCGTCAGAAATCCTGAGCTCAAGAAGCCAACTTCCAAAAGCCAACTCTGTGCGCTTGGCTCTTGTAGGAGTTGTTGAGCTTCTGCCGTAGACCACAAGAAATTTATGCAGTGAGATGTTTTCGCAAAGACACAGAGCATGCCAAGCTTGTGGTGCCCCTCGTTTGACCGGTCGTCTTGGATCAGGTGCAGCTCCCGCCCCGAGAAGACACGAACATCCACTCGGCGCTTGGGGATGGGAGTTCATTTTGCCACCAAATCCGATGTTGCCTCCTTGTTATCCGTCAGATCAGCCGGCACGGCATGGCACGGCTGCTGGATAATGCATCTGTTGCCAACTGTGAGCCTGGCACGAGGTAGGCATTGCGAGTGGAAGTGCAAGATCCGCTGCTGTCCGTCAGCGTTTGATTGCTTAGAGCTTGTAGTGCTTCTACCCGCTAGCCTGCCCGCCACCATGCTAAGCCGTATGCTGGCTGCATGCCTTGGCGCCAGCTCCGTGATGGGCCAGTGCCCGAACCATCCTCACCTGGATCTGTGCTCTGCCTCGACAACCGCAGAAGACATGGACGTCAACGGTGGAGGTCGCAACTCAGCCTGGATGGCTTTGGCTCTGCCTTTGCTAGCCGCTCGACCCTCCTTTGTCGCTGCTTTTTTCACTCTCGCTGTGGCAACGGGTGCAGATGCCCAGAGCGGAATGTCCTGTGGCAACATCCGCACTTTCTACCAAGCCCAGAGCTGTTGCGGGGAGTCGGAGCGGGCTCTCGACTTCAGCAGCAGCGAAGGCAGCAGCTTCAGCAACTCAGTTTGTGAGTCTGGCAGCCCGGTGGGGGTGTGCCACTGCGAGAAGGCCATGCAGCTGCTGTCGCAGGTGGATGGCGTGCAGTTCCCGGTCGAGTTCTGTGCCCACATGGCTGCTGTGAAGCCCGTTGGCTTTCATGACCAGCCTATCTGTGAGGCTTCGGATGCCGGCAACAATGCTGCTTATTTGGTGGACGGCATGGCCGGCAACACCAACTTCCCACATGGCAACATCAAGGTGCTGGCGACCGTGGGCGAGGTCGATCCCACGACAGGTGCCATGCTCACAGGCTGTACTGTTCAAACGAAGCGTGGCCCGCGCCCATGCCTTCACCTCTCCCAGCCCCCCTCTTGTCATTTTTTTTTCCACGTCTGCTTGTGAGCGATCTCTCCCGGATCTGCGGCAGGCGTCCCAGACGGCCTGGGGGCATACCTGAAGGATGCTAGCACGGTGCGGCTGATCTATCAGAGCGAAGCATATGGCCAGCCGCATGAGCCGCAGAAAGACACCGGGTAGTTTTTAACCCAAATCAGCTGGCACAGGGCACGAGGCACAAGTAGCCTGACAGAAATCGTGTGCCCCGAGGCTTGTGACATCCAACCCGGAGTCCTTCCCCTGGGCGGTGAACAGCAAGAGTGCTAGCTTCACCGGGTCTCACATCCACTACATCGACTACGATCGCAGCATGCTGGCCAGCTTCATGGACGACAACGCGCCTTCCAAAGCGCAAGGCATGGTGAAAGGAGCAGGCAATGCCGTGAGCAAGGCCTACAACCTGAAGCGGGAGCTTGTGGGGCCGCGGAATCGCACGGGCGACGGCCTCCAGCCCACCACTTCCAATGTGCACGAGAGCAACGTGGACGTGAACGGCAATTACATCGTCGGGAGCACCGCCACAGCTCCCAGCAAAGCGGATTGGCTCATGCAGTCCCTCTGCTCGGCACACCTGGAGGTGAGGCACCAGTGGGGAAATGGCATGGGCGTTGAGGACGACCTCTTCATCACCAATGAGGAGTGGATCACTTACCCTACGGACTCCATGCCCATTGGTTTGCCCGTGCATGTCTTGAACCTGGCGACAGGCGAGCTTTGGGCCACGGCGGCTTTCACTCTCGGTGGCCATGAGAAGGTGGTGGAAGTGAACAGCGGTCACAGAGACTACGTGGCCTTCGTGCCTTCAGGCTACAACGGCGCCTTTGGTCTTTCCGACGACTCTGCTGTGCTCGCTGCCCGCAACGCCGCGTATAGCAGGACGGATGGCAATCCATACGTGTATCCGCAAGACATCGTGCCTACGAAGCTCTACATCGGAAAGAAGAACACGGACAAGGATGGCAATGCCCAGACCACGGACTTCATGGCCAGGAACGGCTTCGAGTATGGCGCGCTCTATGGCTTCGCCGTGGACTGCAATGCTGTGAATCCTTCGCGAGACAGCTGGCACCAGTCAGCCTCTGCTGGTGACACCGTGACCGGTGCCTTCTACAAGCTCCGTTGGCAGGCGCAGCGGGGCACGGTGGAGAGCTTCGAAAAAGACGGAAGCTGGGAGTTCCAGGATGCTCCCGCGGGCGCTCCGGACGGCTGGTGCTTTTGGAATTCCAATGGCAAAGACAGTCGGGGGGCCAAGACGGAGCACGTGTCCCCAGACCCCAGGGGCGGCCAGCGCGTCTTGCAGGGCTCCACGGCAGGCTACTTCGGGATCTACGATTTCCAGGGCCTGCCCACGCTGTTGTCAAATGGCATGCCGGACTCCATCCCGGCAACCTACACAGTGCATCAGCCCGAGTCCAACGTTGTCGACCTCATTGAGCTGGGCGGTGCTGGCCTCCGTGCGGACGGCAACAACCAGACCATGATGCACGACAGAAGCCGTGACAAGACCACTTTCGAGGACCCGAGAGCGGTTGTTCTTAGGGGTGGGTTCGACGCTTGGTTCAGTTGGTTCGTGTCGTTGACTCGGACTGTTTTCCAGGACGTGGATGGCATGGAGTGGATTGCTGCAGCGAATGGGGAAGATTACTTCGTGATCCATGAGGATGGTGGGAACTTGTACGGTGAGCGCAAGTTCCTGGCCAAAGTGGGTGTCCCCATGAAGTATTACTTCGTGGCACAGAGTGGCGGCAGCCAAAACACCCGCGAACTGGCCAGCATCAGCTCGGTGGCTGGCGTGCATGGCAGGGCCACGTCCCATGAGTTCTCCGGTGCCTTCGACCTCTCCGGGCTGCTCCGCAAGGATGCGGCTGGCAACTTCGAGCTAACGGTGGGGGACGTCACCGGCAAGAAGCGAGCGCTGGAGGCCGCCACGCCCATCAACGAGAAGATCATCGCAGTGAACCTGCAGGCACACAGCAACAATGCCGGCTGGGCTGACACCTTCAAGACGGACCGTGTGGCTCAGGTCCTGGCATACAAGCCAAGGGTGCCTGCGTAGGGAGGCCAAGCTCAGGTACAGCAGCATAGCATACAAGCCGAAAGAATTTGCCTGCGTAAGCGACCACGCTGCAGGTACGGGATAGGCCATGGCGCCGAAAGACGGGGGGTGGGGTCCTTTTTTTTTTGCAAGTACTCTGAGAAGAAGTTGACTATAGATTGTGCATCTCCCTGAAGTCCAAGCGCCGTGAACCTTGCACGTGAAACTCTTGACCTAGGCTTTGCCGCCTAAGTTTCAGCTTTTGGAGCCTGGGATGCAAAGCCTGCAGTGCTCTCCTTTCCCCTCGCCTCAGATCTCAGATACATGACGCGTTTTCAGAAAGAGCACAGGTGCTGACAAGCCACGGCTAGCCCTGTGCCTTTCGGCCAATTTTGACAACTCTTTTTCCCACTTGCGCGCTATAGCGGCGCTGGGCTCTCTAGACCATCGGCTACCCTGGGCATCCGAAACGGAAGTGCCCAGCTCCCAGCCGAAGAAAACTAGACACGCCAGCGCGACCGGAGCTTTCTTTAGAAGGAACTGCCCTGCAAGACTCCAAGACCTTGCTGGAAGAAACTGAGTCCGCACATGCTTGGGGAAGACCGATTCAAGACTTCTGACCACGACTCGTCAGACGGCCCCCAACTCACTGTAGTGCAGCCTCCATGCAACGCAGGCTCCGTCCTGCCACACCACCTTCACATGATTCGGTCGTGGTTGTGGCCGTGGCTAGATGCACCGGGTGCTGCGTTGTGCGTCCTTGGGAATAATGCCAATCTTGAATTCCAGCCCAAGTCTTCTTGCAAGGGTACACAACGTCGTGGCCGACATAGCCATGCTGGGCTGAACACAATGTGCTTGGGACTTTCCAGCATGGTCCATCCAGGGCGACGATGGAGGGGGTGGGGCGGGTATCCGCTAACAGCTGCCACGTGCCGACATTCTGAATGCGGGTGGACCCAAGACAACGAACAGCCAGGTGAGGTGCTTCACGTGCATGACTACTCGTGGTACTTAACATGAGCATCGATATCAGTGCTCCCGCCGAGCAGCAAAGAGGGTCAACTGTTTATGCATGTAGGTGCGATTTGTAGAAAGAAGTCCCACATGGGCAGGTGCAGCTTGAAGCAGACATCGTCGCAACCGCCGGTGCGGATGCCACCGTGACCCTGCTTCTTGACGGTATGGAGGAGAGTTCCAGCTCTGACAATGATATTGCAAGCAAGCAGCTCTTTGCATGAACATTACTAATGCATCTCAGGCTGGCTCGGACACAGCCGCGGACACCCGTCGGATATTGACGAAAAGCCGCCTGCCAGATCTCTTGATCTATCTCATATCTCCCCATCTGTCAGTGTCTTTGTTTAGATCTATATCCCACGCAAGTTTTGTATATCCGTGGCTGTGTCCCCAGATGTCGTAGACGAAACACTGACTGGTGGTAGTTGAATTGAATGTATACCATCCCTGCCATGGCTCAAGGAGCAAGGACGCGTCTCAAGATAGGCTCTCCTCTCTGCCAAATTGCACATCGCTTCGCAGATGTTAGCCACCAGCCACCAGCCAACACCTTCAAGTGCGCTCGCGGACCACGGCCACTCTGGCAGCTGGCGGCCTCCGGTCAGGCGCGAAAACAGAACATACAGACATATACACAACGATGTAGACTTAGACGCTCAGAGACACAGACATATAGAAAGGCGCATAAAGCCCATCCACGCAGAACAGCTTGCGCTTCGCCTGTTTGACACGTCGCTCTGGAAAGACACGACGATCCACTCGGTGCTTCAGTCACCTCGCATGCCAAGTGGAAGTGCAAGATCCGCCGCTGTCCGTGAGCTTTTGATTGCTTAGAGCTTGTAGTGCTTCTACCCGCTAGCCTGCCCGCCACCATGCTAAGCCGTATGCTGGCTGCATGCCTTGGCGCCAGCTCCGTGATGGGCCAGTGCCCGAACCATCCTCACCTGGATCTGTGCTCTGCCTCGACAACCGCAGAAGACATGGACGTCAACGGTGGAGGTCGCAACTCAGCCTGGATGGCATGGGCTCTGCCTTTGCTGGCCGCTCGACCCTCCTTTGTCACTGCTTTTTTCGCTCTCGCTGTGGCAACGGGTGCAGATGCCCAGAGCGGAATGTCCTGTGGCAACATCCGCACTTTCTACCAAGCCCAGAGCTGTTGCGGGGAGTCGGAGCGGGCTCTCGACTTCAGCAGCAGCGAAGGCAGCAGCTTCAGCAACTCAGTTTGTGAGTCTGGCAGCCCGGTGGGGGTGTGCCACTGCGAGAAGGCCATGCAGCTGCTGTCGCAGGTGGATGGCGTGCAGTTCCCGGTCGAGTTCTGTGCCCACATGGCTGCTGTGAAGCCCGTTGGCTTTCATGACCAGCCTATCTGTGAGGCTTCGGATGCCGGCAACAATGCTGCTTATTTGGTGGACGGCATGGCCGGCAACACCAACTTCCCACATGGCAACATCAAGGTGCTGGCGACCGTGGGCGAGGTCGATCCCACGACAGGTGCCATGCTCACAGGCTGTACTGTTCAAACGAAGCGTGGCCCGCGCCCATGCCTTCACCTCTCCCAGCCCCCCTCTTGTCATTTTTGCTTCCACGTCTGCTTGTGAGCGATCTCTCCCGGATCTGCGGCAGGCGTCCCAGACGGCCTGGGGGCATACCTGAAGGATGCTAGCACGGTGCGGCTGATCTATCAGAGCGAAGCATATGGCCAGCCGCATGAGCCGCAGAAAGACACCGGGTAGTTTTTAACCCAAATCAGCTGGCACAGGGCACGAGGCACAAGTAGCCTGACAGAAATCGTGTGCCCCGAGGCTTGTGACATCCAACCCGGAGTCCTTCCCCTGGGCGGTGAACAGCAAGAGTGCTAGCTTCACCGGGTCTCACATCCACTACATCGACTACGATCGCAGCATGCTGGCCAGCTTCATGGACGACAACGCGCCTTCCAAAGCGCAAGGCATGGTGAAAGGAGCAGGCAATGCCGTGAGCAAGGCCTACAACCTGAAGCGGGAGCTTGTGGGGCCGCGGAATCGCACGGGCGACGGCCTCCAGCCCACCACTTCCAATGTGCACGAGAGCAACGTGGACGTGAACGGCAATTACATCGTCGGGAGCACCGCCACAGCTCCCAGCAAAGCGGATTGGCTCATGCAGTCCCTCTGCTCGGCACACCTGGAGGTGAGGCACCAGTGGGGAAATGGCATGGGCGTTGAGGACGACCTCTTCATCACCAATGAGGAGTGGATCACTTACCCTACGGACTCCATGCCCATTGGTTTGCCCGTGCATGTCTTGAACCTGGCGACAGGCGAGCTTTGGGCCACGGCGGCTTTCACTCTCGGTGGCCATGAGAAGGTGGTGGAAGTGAACAGCGGTCACAGAGACTACGTGGCCTTCGTGCCTTCAGGCTACAACGGCGCCTTTGGTCTTTCCGACGACTCTGCTGTGCTCGCTGCCCGCAACGCCGCGTATAGCAGGACGGATGGCAATCCATACGTGTATCCGCAAGACATCGTGCCTACGAAGCTCTACATCGGAAAGAAGAACACGGACAAGGATGGCAATGCCCAGACCACGGACTTCATGGCCAGGAACGGCTTCGAGTATGGCGCGCTCTATGGCTTCGCCGTGGACTGCAATGCTGTGAATCCTTCGCGAGACAGCTGGCACCAGTCAGCCTCTGCTGGTGACACCGTGACCGGTGCCTTCTATACAAGCTCCGTTGGCAGGCGCAGCGGGGCACGGTGGAGAGCTTCGAAAAAGACGGAAGCTGGGAGTTCCAGGATGCTCCCGCGGGCGCTCCGGACGGCTGGTGCTTTTGGAATTCCAATGGCAAAGACAGTCGGGGGGCCAAGACGGAGCACGTGTCCCCAGACCCCAGGGGCGGCCAGCGCGTCTTGCAGGGCTCCACGGCAGGCTACTTCGGGATCGAATCTACGATTTCCAGGGCCTGCCCACGCTGTTGTCAAATGGCATGCCGGACTCCATCCCGGCAACCTACACAGTGCATCAGCCCGAGTCCAACGTTGTCGACCTCATTGAGCTGGGCGGTGCTGGCCTCCGTGCGGACGGCAACAACCAGACCATGATGCACGACAGAAGCCGTGACAAGACCACTTTCGAGGACCCGAGAGCGGTTGTTCTTAGGGGTGGGTTCGACGCTTGGTTCAGTTGGTTCGTGTCGTTGACTCGGACTGTTTTCCAGGACGTGGATGGCATGGAGTGGATTGCTGCAGCGAATGGGGAAGATTACTTCGTGATCCATGAGGATGGTGGGAACTTGTACGGTGAGCGCAAGTTCCTGGCCAAAGTGGGTGTCCCCATGAAGTATTACTTCGTGGCACAGAGTGGCGGCAGCCAAAACACCCGCGAACTGGCCAGCATCAGCTCGGTGGCTGGCGTGCCTGGCAGGGCCACGTCCCATGAGTTCTCCGGTGCCTTCGACCTCTCCGGGCTGCTCCGCAAGGATGCGGCTGGCAACTTCGAGCTAACGGTGGGGGACGTCACCGGCAAGAAGCGAGCGCTGGAGGCCGCCACGCCCATCAACGAGAAGATCATCGCAGTGAACCTGCAGGCACACAGCAACAATGCCGGCTGGGCTGACACCTTCAAGACGGACCGTGTGGCTCAGGTCCTGGCATACAAGCCAAGGGTGCCTGCGTAGGGAGGCCAAGCTCAGGTACAGCAGCATAGCATACAAGCCGAAAGAATTTGCCTGCGTAAGCGACCACGCTGCAGGTACGGGATAGGCCATGGCGCCGAAAGACGGGGGGTGGGGTCCTGTTTTTTTTGCAAGTACTCTGAGAAGAAGTTGACTATAGATTGTGCATCTCCCTGAAGTCCAAGCGCCGTGAACCTTGCACGTGAAACTCTTGACCTAGGCTTTGCCGCCTAAGTTTCAGCTTTTGGAGCCTGGGATGCAAAGCCTGCAGTGCTCTCCTTTCCCCTCGCCTCAGATCTCAGATACATGACGCGTTTTCAGAAAGAGCACAGGTGCTGACAAGCCACGGCTAGCCCTGTGCCTTTCGGCCAATTTTGACAACTCTTTTTCCCACTTGCGCGCTATAGCGGCGCTGGGCTCTCTAGACCCTCGGCTACCCTGGGCATCCGAAACGGAAGTGCCCAGCTCCCAGCCGAAGAAAACTAGACACGCCAGCGCGACCGGAGCTTTCTTTAGAAGGAACTGCCCTGCAAGACTCCAAGACCTTGCTGGAAGAAACTGAGTCCGCACATGCTTGGGGAAGACCGATTCAAGACTTCTGACCACGACTCGTCAGACGGCCCCCAACTCACTGTAGTGCAGCCTCCATGCAACGCAGGCTCCGTCCTGCCACACCACCTTCACATGATTCGGTCGTGGTTGTGGCCGTGGCTAGATGCACCGGGTGCTGCGTTGTGCGTCCTTGGGAATAATGCCAATCTTGAATTCCAGCCCAAGTCTTCTTGCAAGGGTACACAACGTCGTGGCCGACATAGCCATGCTGGGCTGAACACAATGTGCTTGGGACTTTCCAGCATGGTCCATCCAGGGCGACGATGGAGGGGGTGGGGCGGGTATCCGCTAACAGCTGCCACGTGCCGACATTCTGAATGCGGGTGGACCCAAGACAACGAACAGCCAGGTGAGGTGCTTCACGTGCATGACTACTCGTGGTACTTAACATGAGCATCGATATCAGTGCTCCCGCCGAGCAGCAAGGAGGGTCAACTGTTTATGCATGTAGGTGCGACTTGTAGAAAGAAGTCCCACATGGGCAGGTGCAGCTTGAAGCAGACATCGTCGCAACCGCCGGTGCGGATGCCACCGTGACCCTGCTTCTTGACGGTATGCAGCTCTGACAATGATATTGCAAGCAAGCAGCTCTTTGCATGAACATTACTAATGCATCTCAGGCTGGCTCGGACACAGCCGCGGACACCCGTCGGATATTGACGAAAAGCCGCCTGCCAGATCTCTTGATCTATCTCATATCTCCCCATCTGTCAGTGTCTTTGTTTAGATCTATATCCCACGCAAGTTTTGTATATCCGTGGCTGTGTCCCCAGATGTCGTAGACGAAACACTGACTGGTGGTAGTTGAATTGAATGTATATCATCCCTGCCATGGCTCAAGGAGCAAGGACGCGTCTCAAGATAGGCTCTCCTCTCTGCCAAATTGCACATCGCTTCGCAGATGTTAGCCACCAGCCACCAGCCAACACCTTCAAGTGCGCTCGCGGACCACGGCCACTCTGGCAGCTGGCGGCCTCCGGTCAGGCGCGAAAACAGAACATGCAGACATACCTGGGAAACCCTTACGCCTTTTATAAATGCCGGCGCCGGGTAAAGTCGCCTTTAAGCGGTCGGCTGCGGGATTGCAGGTTTGTCGGCGCTTTTGTAGATTTGGCGGCGGATTTGTGTTTTGGGCCGTCTCAGCCCTTTGGCTCCCGTTGTGGAGCTGCTGGTGCCCCTTCAAGGTGGGCCCACCTCTCTGCTGCAGCTGTTGCATCGTGATTGGCTGCGAAATGTGCTTGAGCCTCTGATTCTCCAGTTGCTTTTGTGCTCGAGGGCTTTAGATTGGGCAGCAGGGTTTTGATGATGGAGCAACTTCCTGTGCCTATGGAGTGCTTCGATCTCCTGAAGTCCGTAGGACCGTGGTTTTCGCATTAGCACAACATCGTGGCAAGCAATTCGTTGTGATGATTGAGCTTTTCCAGGACTCCAGGATATGCCCCTGGCTTTCTTCCACCAGGTCCAAGGGGTGCTCTGGCCGGAGATTCCGAATCCTCACGCCACTTAAAAGCATAGAGATCCGAGGAACTATGTGAAGCCTTTGCAGCATCCTGGATAAATCCTTCCCAAGGACATCTTGAGTCCCGACGAGATTTCGGTCATAGTTCAAAACTACCGAGATGGAGGGTCGGTCAGAGAGCTGGCGAAGCAGTTTTGGGGGGCCCAGGAAAAGATTCGAGCCTCCGGCTGCAGTTGTGCTTGGAGTTTTGGCTAAAGTATATGATCATTATGAAACTCATTTTGCCCAGGACTCCATGCCCAACCTCAGACACCCGAGAAGGAGACAGCGCCCAAGAAGGATGTGGGAGAGCAGTCCATTTAGATCATGGACAGGAACACCGCATCCGCTCGAGTTTGAAAAAGACTTCGAACTTTGGGCGAAGACTGAGTTTGGTCCATAGCCCTATAATTCTTTCGATCGTTGCCTTCGCAGGTTTGACATGCTTCGGCTCCGCATGGTCCAACACTGAGCATATATCTTGCATCGTTCTCTCAATCTTCCTCCCTTTCTTTTTCTCTAAATCCCTCTTTCTCAAAAGAGTGGGTTTTCGCCTGAGGCCCCGGTGGCTTCTGGTGGATAGCTTCGACTTGCTGCAAAACCACGATAAGGCTCGTCAACCGCATTTCCCAAAACCCTTAACCTTTGAGTGGGTTATCGCCTGAGGCCGGGGTGGCTTCTGCTGGATGGTTTCGACTTGCTGCACAACGACGATAAGGCTTCTCAATCGCAACTCCCAAAACCCTTAGCCTCCGAGTGGGTTATTGTCCTGAGGCCCGGGTGGCTTCTGGTGGATGGTTTCTCGACTTGCTGCAGAACGAACGACGATAAGGTTGCTCAATAGCAATTGCCAAAACCCTGAACCTTTGAGTGGGTTATCGCCTGAGGCCGGGGTGGCTTCTGGTGGTTTCGACTTGCTGCAGAACGACGATAAGGCTTCTCAATCGCAATTCGCCAAACCCTTGACCCCTGAGTGGGTTGTCGCCTGAGGCCCGGTGGCTTCTGGTGGGTGCCGCCGACTTTCTGCAGAACGACGATAAGGCTCTTAAACCGCTGTTCCCCAAACCCTTAACCCCTAAAAAATCCCACGCCGCCGCAAATCTTCCTTTGTGTTCGCTGGAGCGATTTGGTGCAGGTTCTGGCTGGTGGCCTGAGGACCACTGAAGTGCCCCCTCGTGTTGCTCAGATGTGTGCTTTCAGTGCTTCAGTGGTGCATGCATGGATTGAAAGCTATGCTGTGCTTCTGAAGCTTTTGGCCGGATCCGGAGACTTTGTGGACTTGAGTTGCTTAGGCTTCCAAAGCACATGTCACATAACCCAAATCCTGCGACTTATTGCATAAAATCCTGCGGCTTCTTGCATAAGAGACTTCCCGGAGCGCTTTTTCTCTCTGCCATACTTCAGTATGGCCGACATCCTCGTGCCGCAGACTCCGCCTCGCAAGGTGATCAAAGCGAAAAGGGAGGCGAACTTGACAGGGCTTTGGGAGGCCTGGGAGGAGAATCGTCAGCTTCGCAAATACAGCAGGAAGAAGGGCAGCCTTTTGGATTGGGAACATCCCTCCAAGGTTGGGCTCATAAACCGGAGGTCTTTGATGCTCAACTGGAAGGTGATCTTGCCTTTGCTTGAAATCTATTGCCCAAAGCATGAGCCCAAGACCGTGCCCGTGCAAAGCCTGAAGCAGCAAGCTACTCGGTAGCACGATACAGTTTTAACATTGCAGTACGGCAGGCAACTCATGTTTGTTCCTGCTTGGTTACGATTGTTTGTCTTAATGATCATGATAAGGTCAAACGATTCTTCGAAGAGATCGAGGTCGCCCCGAAGAAGGGGTTGGTTCACTGCACCAGCCACAGCTTGAAAATGTTCGTGAGCTACATCCTTCGCAGACATGACGGATCTGTGAGAAAGGCCCCTCTACTCATCCTAGCTTCTGGTCTTGGGTTTGCACATTCAACGATATCTAGAATGCCTAAGCATCATTTGAGGACCACCGCCTCAAGGCGATCTTCGACGAGGTGTCCAAGAGCTGGCCGGCGAAGCTCCGCAGCCGCAGGACCTTGCTTGAGGCCGAGGACGAGCCGGGTGATGATGAGTGTGAGAAGGAAGGCCAGGAGGAGGAGGAGGAAGAGGAGCTACAGTTGACCGAGGATGAGGTTGAGGACGATTCGCAGGCAGCTGAGGTTGATGATTACCTAGCCGAGGATATGGGGCTTTGTCCGGGATCCCCACAACCACCTTCGGCCTATGTGGGTACGGTGGCTTATGAGCTGGGTGATGAAGGACCGGTGCCTTATCAAGCAGGTTTGCTTGATCGCGATGAAGGCGAGGGCGGCACAGACACAGATCTGGTGAGACGGTTGGCTGAGCTGGAGCATCTTGCTTCAAACGAAGGGTGCTCGTTCGAACACATCAATAATGAAAGCACTAGTGTTGTATCTCAAGCTGAGCAGCCGAGGCAGCAAATCGCCCATCGACGAGCAGCTTTGTCTGGACAGAGGGCAATCGAACGGTGGCACAGCACCTCAGTTTAATCTTATTCTAGCCACCAACACCGACGACCCCCAGTCCTTAAACCCTTTGAAGCCCCACGGCCTGAAGCCCCGAAACCCAACAGCCCGCAAACCTTAAGCCCCTAAACCCTGAAGCCCCAAGCCCGAACAGTATCCCAGGTCTGCAGCACATGGACAGCCAGCGGACCATCGTTTGGCCAGAGCGGCTAAATGATGTGCATGAGCAGGATCGTTTCAGTGATCCTCCAGCTGCCTCGGAAGCTGTGGGTGAATATGTTCGGCAGGGTGCTGCGAGTAATCTATCCCTTGGGGCCCTTTCTTCAAAAGATGTGGCTCCAGGCCATGTACCCGTGGCCACCCCAGCAAGGGCGGCTTCGGAGCTCCCGGCATTGTCGGAGGATCCGGTGCAGGTCCCAACAACTGCCCCTGAAGTTTCCGAGGATCTAGCAGACCCAACACATCCTGCAGTTGCCGCTGAAGTTTCCAAGGATCTAGCAGACCCAACACAGGCAGCAGTTGCCGCTGAAGTTTCCAAGGATCTAGCAGACCCAACACAGGCAGCAGTTGCCGCTGAAGTTTCCAACGATCTAGCAAGCCCAACACAGGCAGCAGTTGCCCCTGAAGTTTCCGAGGATCTAGCAAGCCCAACACAGGCAGCAGTTGCCCCTGGAGTCTTGAAGGATGCAGGCAAGGTACACCCAGGAAGTCCATGCCCAGAGTCTGTGTCGCTGGCTATCCGGAGTGGCTCCGAGCCAGGATCTCCTGATCTGTTGGCTTGCCAGGTGGGGCTAATCCTAGTTTGGACTTCAGGCTTCAGTCTTTCATGGTACTTTGGGCTTCAGGCTTCAGCCTTTCCTCGCACAAAGTACTATCCCAAACCCCGAAGCCACCAAATCCTAAATGCTTTTCATCGCACTAAATAAATACCTGGAAGCCCTAAACCCAAAACCCAGACCCCTCAAATCCCAAGTTCTTGCAGGCTTTCAGAGTCTTGGCTCACGCGGGGAATTTGGGGTTCAGGATTGGGGATTTAGGAAGCTGTGGTTTTAGGATTCCAGCCAAATAAAGCCAAGACCCAAAGCTTCACTTTCCCGAGCATCTCCAAAGGCAAATCTTCCACGCAGAGACTCCTTAGCTTCTGGGGCTCCGTGAGGATTCTGTAGGCTCGCAGCAGGTTGGAACTTTTGAGATTCTGGGCGAATGGCAGGTTGAGCTGTTTCTGTATATGTCCTAAAAAACTTAGCCAAGCAGCACTCGGTACACAGAACGAGAGTCGTATTAGTACTAGTTACTAGTAGTAGTACTAGTAGTAGTAGTAGTAGTAGTAGTAGTAGTAGTAGTAGTAGTAGTAGTAGTAGTAGTAGTAGTAGTAGTAGTAGTAGTACTACTACTACTACCACTACCACTACCACTACCACTACCACTACCACTACCACTACCACTACCACTACCACTACCACTACCACTACCACTACCACTACTACTACCACTACTACTAGGACTACTACTACTACTACGACTACTACTACTACTACTACTACTACTACTACTACTACTACTACTACTACTACTACTACTACTACTACTACTACTATTAGTACTAGTACTAGTACTAGTACTAGTACTAGTACTAGTACTAGTACTAGTACTAGTGACTAGTGCTTCTACTAGTTAGTAGTGGACTACTAAGCCCGCAACAGCTACCACAGCCTATAACCCAAACCCTAAACCCCAAAACCCTAACCCTTAACCCCTGAATAACTGCTGAACCTTAAATCGGCCACACTCTCTGAGCTCGCTAGGTTCAGACGAGACGGCAAGAGCAGATGCGAGAAAGGGAGCAGGCAAAGCAGGCAGCCGAGCAGTGTGAGGAGGACGACCCCGAAGACCCCGAGCCGGTCGTGAAGAAGCGGCCTGCCGCCAAATCGGCGGCGAAAAAAAACGGTGGCAAGAAGGGCTGGCCGAAGGGGAAAGCCAAAGCCCGGGCCAAGCCTTTGGAGAAGGGCGACGACGACGAGCCAAAGTCGAAGCCTGCCAAGACGGGTGACGACGAGGAGCCAAAGCCGAAGCCTGCCAAGAGAGCCAGGAAGGGTGACGACGAGGAGCCAAAGCCGAAGCCTGCCAAGAAGGGCAAGCCGAACGGTGACGACGAGGAGCCCAAGCCGAAGCCTGCCAAGAAGGGCAAGCCGAACGGTGACGACGAGCCAAAGACGAAGCCTGCCAAGAAGGGCAAGCCGGATGGTGACGATGAGCCAAAGCCGAAGCCTGCCAAGAGAGGCAAGCCGGATGGTGACGACGAGGAGCCAAAGCCGAAGGTTGCTAAGAAGGGCAAGCGGGATGGTGACGACGAGCCAAAGCCGAAGCCTTCTAAGAAGGGCAAGCCGGATGGTGACGACGAGCCAGAGCCGAAGCCTGCTAAGAAGGACAGCAAGCCGAAGCCAGATTTGAAAAAGACTTTCGCCAGAAGGTTCGAGCCGCCAAACGAGGGGGACGCCAAGTGCCTCTGGACGTCCATCCGGGACGCCTTCAATGCAATCCTTCGACCACACTTCCGTTTCCCTACGAAGTTCGAGGATTGCCAGCCGAAATCTAATCCCACCTAAACCCGAAAAGCCTTGAACCCTACAGCCCCACCCCCTAAAACCCTAAAGGCCCTAAAGCCCAAAACCCCTAAAGCCCGAAACCCCGAAACCCCTAAAGCCCAAAACCCCTAAAGCCCCGAAGCCTTGAATCTCGATTGATTCTAAAGCTTCTCCAAGCACTCCTGGCTAAAGCCTTGATCACACTTGAAGCCCACAACCCTCCTAAACCCTCGATGCCTCAAACCATCAAGCCCTAGACCTTTCCAAACCCTAACACCCCTAAGGCCTAAGCTCTCTAAAGCCAGAACTGATTTATGTTCTGCTTGCAGGATCTGTTCTGGAAGCACTGCCGGCCCATCATCACCCAGGAGGAGCAGCCGTACTTCAGGTCGAAGGCACAGGAGGTTGCTTTCACCTGGTTGGAGATGCAGAGAGCAAACGGTGCTGTGGAAGACTGAGGGAACTAAAGCCACCCGTCTAGAACAGTCAGCTGTTTCAATTGTAATTAAAGCCTGCAAGCTTCAATGAACACCTTATCCGAGGCTACGTGGTATGATCCGACGGCCGCCTTTTTGAGTGATCCTGAGTCATAGCATAGACTTGGGCCTGATTTCGTGAAACTGCTTCAGTGCAACTCTCTGGGATTAACTCGGATCCCCTGACCGGTGTCTGCTTTCCAGGGGCGAGTGTGGGCTGTGCTTCAGTTATTGTTCAGGAGTGACTACCTGCACGCACCAGTTATGCTTGCTGGGTCGCCAAACACTGCCCTTTAGAGGAAGCATGAGTCATGGCGAGAGATGCAGTATGTTCGTGGCAACAAGAAAAGTTGAGCGAGTCTTCATGAGCAGCGAATGCACTGATTGATGCTTGATAGTAGAAGCCAAGTCTCTGCATAGATATTGAAGATAAGATGCTGTCCTTCCACGCCGCCAGGTACGATGAGCACTTGCTGGGCATACCATCAGTGCGGCCTTGCCGAGGAAGAAAGTCGGCCGCCATGTTTGGAACCTGAGATGGTTTCGAGTGGGAAGGCTTAGGTTACTTTAGGGTTTCAGGTGTTACTTTAGGGTTTCACGTGTTACTTTAGGGTTTCAGGTGTTTGGGGTTTCCGTGGCGGGCCTTGAGGTTCGTGGGGCTTGCTGCTTCAGATTCTGGCATGGCTTTGGACGGACTTTGGTAGCTCGCTTCGATCTAGCATTCTCTAAACCCTATAAGCCTGAACCCTAAAACACAAAACCTTAAATGGATTTGGGGTTCGGGCATTGCATTAGCCTCTATCTTTGTGCGACTTGAGATTTAGAAGGGGGGTGTTCCGTGATGGTTGTCGAAGGCCCCAACCCGAAACTCCTTGGGTTCTGCTGCATAGAATCTAGAGGGCTTCAGGTTTCGAGGTTGAAGTTGTAGCCCTGTCTTCTGAAGGACACGAAGCCTATTGTAATAAGGAACCGCCCAAACCCTATTCTGATTCTTAAGGCCCCCTTATAGTAACCCTTATAGTAGTAGCCCTTATAGGACCCTTTTGAAGGAACCCTTTAAAGGCCCCTACATTATTCGCCCCCCCCCCCAAAGAACAAATACATATTTTGGGATTTCAGGACGTTGCGGGTTTATGTGGTTTAAGCTTTATCTGTGATCCCCGACCCTATGCTTCTTAATCTCCAGTCTCTGCAGCCTGAAGGATTCAAGTTGTCTACGCCACACCCAAAGGATTTTGGGTTTTCGGTGTTTCGGCTTTATAAGCCACCCAAAACCTAAGCCACAGATCCTAAACCTATAATCCATGAAAGTGACTTATACCGCCTGTGAATGTGAAGCCAGAAACTGCCAAGTCTTCGCACAACTCCCAAAGCCCACGCTTGGAAGTCCAATAGCCTTAAAGCCCCTAAAACCCTAAACCCGAAAGCCTTCCAGCCCAACCCCATACCCTAAGCACGAAGGCCTTTCAGCCAAATACAATCCTGCGAACTCTTTTGCTCTATGTCTTTATGAAGCACCTGAAACCCTTAATCCTAAATCCCTTGGCCGACTGAAGCTGCAAGTCGGGCTCCGAAGTCGCCACGCTTTGCCTGTCAGATCCAAAGATCAGTGTCTGTTTGTCAAAGAGCTAGCTTGGTTTTCCATTCTAGGTGCGAGCTTGGTATTCCATTCTAGGTGCAGTCCTATTCAGCACTTAGTATGGCGGCCCTAGCAGTCGGATCCAATGGAAACCACGATCAAAGAGTCTGCTCGAAAGAAGGCTGTGCACGGTTGGTGGATGGGCTGCATCGCTACTGCTGTCGTGGCTGTCGAAGGAACGAACGTCATAGCAAGAAATGCTCGAGGATGAATGCTGCTATCGTTGCACTGGAGCCGATTCGAGACTGCATGACGTGTGATCGTAAGGTTTTTCCTCCACATATCCACTGCTGCTCAGTTTGCAAAGACAGACCTGGAGAGCACAAGCCGACATGCTTGCATAGGGCAGAAGCTGCTGCACGCAAGTTCTTGGAGGAAATGGATTGAGGTTCGGAGCTTGCCTGGTGTGCCGCAAAAGAAGATGCTATTTTGCAGACACTGCATGACTGTGTTGACAAGTAATTGTTTAGGCACTCAGACAGTGTTAGGGAAAAGGGAGGGATAGAGAGAGAGAGAGAGAGAGAGAGAAGGCAAAGTGATGAAATGACAGACAGTGACAGAGAAAGGGGGCCGAGCGAGCAGCATGAACATCGGGGAAGCAGGCCCCGCTACGGGTTTTCGGTGTTTGGTCGGAGGTGTCCAGGCCCCAGCACTGGTTTTGGGACTTTGGTCGGAGTTTTGCAGGCCCTACCACTGGTTTTAGGGGTTTGGTCGGAGTTTTGCAGGCCCTACCACTGGTTTTGGGGGTTTGGTAGGAGTTTTGCAGGCCCTACCACTGGTTTTGGGGGGTTTGGTCGGGTTTTCCTACATTTTGGGCTGCCGGCTGCCGGCGGGAATGCCCGTCCAAGTAGCGTCCGTGCCCGTCCAAGCGGCGGGAATAGCCGGGATGGGTCCCTCACCCCAGCAGAGCATCAGCTGTGACCTGTGTTGTGCAGGCTTTTGTGGCCCAACATAGGGCCTGCAGCTCTGCTGTTTGAGCCATGGAGGGAGATCCCGAAATGGAAAGCCTTTTGGCCCAGAGACAGGCCCTTTTGGTGCTCTGGATTGAATAGAACCAAATGTGTGGCATGCATTCACGAAGGCTTCTTCCCTTGATGGGCCCCCATTGTAACCGATCCCAGGATCAGATGAAGGCCCAGGGCTTGGAGCCGGCCAGCAAGAAGGACCTGCTTGTATCAGTGTGTCTTGTTATTGAGCTGAATAAAGTGTTGGTTGTTTTTCGGCACAGGATGGTCCGTCACGTGGCACCTCCTGGCACTCCTCCCAGACGGGTTCCCAGCAGCAGTTCCCCTCTTTGCCACCGCCTGACACCCCAAGCGAGCAAACTTCGCCTGTCCGCCAAACCTTCCCTGACACAGTGCAGGACTCGGCCCCCGAGACCCAGCAGCCACAAAGCCAGACCGGCCAGCCTGTTCAAATCAAGAAGCCTGAAGAAAGCCAGGCCAGCCAGAGCCAGTCCCTTGAAAGCAAAAAGCCCGCAGAAAGCCAGGCCAGCCAGAGCCAGTCCTTTGAAAGCAAAAAGCCCGCAGAAAGCCAGGCCGCCCAGAGCCAGTCCCTTGAGAGCAAAAAACCCGCAGAAAGCCAGGCCGCCCAGAGCCAGTCCCTTGTGCCCAGTGAAACCAAGACCCGGGAGCAAGCCACAACTGGCCAGGATCAGCAGGCAAAAGCCAAAGCCCAGCCCAAACGACTCCTTCCCAGCAGCAAAGCCAAGCCAGGCCAGACGAAGGAGGATGATGAGTATTGTCTAGGAGAGGAGGATCAGGCCATCGCCCCTCCCGCACAGGTGAGCAAAGCCACCCTGATGAAACGGCTGGCCCGGTTGTGTACGCCAAGGGAGGATGGATCGTACAAGATACCACAGGATGTTATCAACACTTACAAGAACATCGAAACTAGGGAGGAAGTCTACCGGAGCTTCGAGAAGTGTGGTTGCGACCCGGTTTGCCTGTCTCGTTTATGGTACCTTGTCGATACAATATCATACTTTCCCTGCTAATCTCCCACTAAGCAGCCAGGTGCTGTTCTCGAAAAGAATCAACCGAAAGTACGAAGAGATCAACGAGAAATCGGTGGAAACCGAGTTCGAATTCCTGACAGAACAGGAAATGGAAGAGAAAGGCTGGAGCGAGTGTCTTAGATGATCATACCTAAACCCTACTACCCTAAACCCTACAACCCTAAACCCCTGAGCCCCTAAAGCCTAAAGTCAAAACCCTATCACTACCTTCTTCCTTAGCCGAGGAAGAAGATCAAGGGCGCCAAGAGAAGCTGTGAGAAACGGCCCGGATGGAAGAGGAGATTGGTTCTACTTTTAGTGTTTCGATTCACTGCACATAGGCTCATCGTGCGAACTTCTTTGCTGCTGCTCTGTTGCAGAGGAAGTCTGAATACTGCGATGAGTGGATGTATTGGGTGGCTGTGAGGGTCAAGGGCTCCAACAAGTGCCATGGTTTTAGATTATGTGTGGAGTCTTTTTTTGTGTGTGTAGCCCCGAACTTCTGTCCTAGCTTCCTTGCCCAGGAAAACCAAGAGGCACACTGTGGCCGAGATTCTCGAAGGTGAGGATCAGGGAGACGGCCAGGATCCAGAGGAGGCCATGAAGGAGTTCCCGCACGAGGGCGAGGACGAGAATGCAGCGGCCGGAGGCTTTCCTGGGGTTATCAGTGCCCCGCACAACCCTAAACCCTAAGCCCTGCCTATTACTATCACTACTACTACTACTATTACTACTACTACTACTACTACTACCACCACCACCACCACCACTACTACTACTACTACTACTAGTACTACTACCACCACCACCACCACCACCCCCGCCACCACCACCACCACCACCACCACCACCACCACTACTACTACTCCTCCTCCTCCTCCTGCTGCTGCTGCTGCTACTACGAGTACTACTACTACTAGTACTACTATATACTAGTACTACTACTACTACTACTACTACTGCTACTACTAGTACTACTACTACTACTACTACTACTACTACTGCTACTACTACTCCTACTACTACTAGCACTACTAGCACTACTAGTCCTACTACCCTCGCTGCTAGTGATGCTGCTGATGCTGCTGCAAATGCTTCTGCTAAAGCTGCTGCTCCTGCCGCCGTTGCTGCGACTGCATTTTGGATGAGCACTACCAATACTACTAGGCTTGTGCTACTATCAATACACGAAGCAGTGCTTGTACTTTTTCAACACCCCGTTGTGTGGCTGGGCCCTTGGACCTGGATTTAGGGTTTTGGGGGTTTAGGGTTTAAAAGGGTTAGGGTTTAGGGTTTAGGTTTAGGCTTCAATCCAAGTTTCGGCAATCGTTCTATCGTGTTATTTCACGCCGGGCCTTCACATTCCCTTTGAAGAAAGGGTTTAGGTTGTAAGGTTTAGGGTTTTAGGGCTTATAGGGTTTTAAGGGTTTTGGGTTTAGGGGTTAGGTTTAGGTTTCAATCCAAGTTTCGGCAACCGTTCTCTCGTGTTAGAAGCACAACCCCAATAGCCTCACGCCGGCCCTTTACAGTTACATTCCCTTTGAAGCACAACCCCGCTAGCCTCACGCCGGGCCTTAAGCGAAGCACAACCCCAATGGCCTCACGCCGGGCCTTTACATTCCCTTTGAAGCAAGGGTTTAGGGTTGTAGGGTTTAGGATTTTAGGGTTTAGGGTTTAGGGGCTAGGGGTTAGGGGTTAAGGGTTTAGGTTTAGGCTTCAATCGAGTATTGGGTTGGAAGACTAGGTTGGGGGCTTCGGGTGATTAGTTACTGATTCTTAAGTATGGGAATTGGATTTCGCGAGTTTCGTGAGCCCCAGGAAGCCCAGTACTACCAAACCGGTAGCTTCTAACTAGCTCCCTTAAACCCTAAAACCCGAAGCCCTCCCTAATACTTGCAGCCAGGAGATGATGAGTCCGACGAGGACAGCAGCGATAATGGAGAAGAGGCCAGCAGAATACTGAAGAAAGTGATGTTCCCAGAGGTTGGCAAACGACCTCAAGAGGTGCTGCTGCTCGTCACTGCATGTCTACAGAAACGGAGCTCGAAACTCGTGCCGGTTCTCCAAAAACTCGAGTCCATGGAGAAAAACATGCCTCTCTCGAGTTCACAGGTCAAGCAGCTCGACAAATTGTCGTGTGTGACTACATTCATCAACCTGCCCTCCTGTGCCACCCCAAAACCTAAGGTACAAGGAGAGCTTGAAAACGATCCTGGAGAAGCTCACCGAGCTGGAGGACGAGCTCACGACGATCTACAGCAACGGGGTTGCTGTTGGGTTCACGAAAGAGAGCCTCGACAAACAGATTAGTGTGCTTGTTGTTGATCAGGATGTGGTTTTGGGGTATGCATGTTTGTCAGCTGCCATCAACCCACTAATCCCGCCAAGGGACCAGAAGAAGATGCGAGCCCAGTTCCAGATCGCCAAGACGAGGCAACTCGGTGAGTCGGTGAGTGGCTGGAAGAACATGCAAGAGCTCAACCCGAACCTTCCTTATTTGTACCAATGCTAAGGGCCGTCGAAGCTGAGATGATCTTCGAACGTTCCAAGAATATCAAGCCGCTTGTCCCATAAACCCTAAGCCCTACTAAACCCTGAACCGTTAACCCCTAAACCCTAAGCCCTCAGCCCCTCGACCCCTAAAGACTTCGTTTGCATGTGGCCTTGCATCGGTGCTACTCAATAATATGTGCAGCATTCCTTGTTGTGCATTAAGGATGCCGGCGAACGCCGCAAGCACCCCGAAGACCGAGCCGAAAGTGAAAGCAAAGCCAAAGCAGGCTGCAGCGAAGGGCAAGGCGGCACCCAAGAGAAAAGGTGATGATGATGATGAGGAGGATGAACAGAAGCCGCCCAAACGGGGCAAGAAGTAGGGTGCCAGGTTAGCTCAGCTTGCACTTCGTGGTGATGGTATTAATGCCCTAAGCCCTACACCCTCAACCCTTCTAAGCTATGCGGCAATAGCTCCAACAAAAGCTTGCTGAGTTGCACTGAGCTCTATGAAAGAGTGGCTTGGACAAGCCGCTGGGCCAAAGGCCCGTCGTGCATGGCCCGCACGAGCCCAAAAGGTTGCTCGAGTCTGAAGCCTCCAATGCCATACCCCGCTCGAGAAACCCGCAGCAACGGCTTTAAAGTTAAAGACCCACAGGCCCGTAAAGCTCATAACCCCTCAAGCCCGAAACCCCAGAAGCCCTAAAGCCCAAAACCCCTGAATGCTGAAGCCCTAAAACAGTAAAGCCCATTGTCCGAGTGTGAGCGCCGAAAGCCCAAAACCGCCAAAGCCCTGAATCCCAAAACCCCTGAAGCCCTAAAACCTTAAAGCCCAAAACACCGAAAAGCCCAATCCCCTAAACCTCTAAAGCCCAAAACACCGAAAACCGTAAAGCCCAAAATCCCTAAAGCCCCGACGGCCTAAAGCTCAAAACCCCTAAAGCCCTGAAGCCCAAAACCCCGAAAGCCCTAAAGCCCAAAACCCCTAAAGGCCCAAACCCCTAAAGCCATAAAACACAAAACCCAAACCCCTAAAGCCCTAAAGCCCTAAAGCCCAAAACCCCTGAAGCCCTAAAGCCCAAAACCCCTAAAGCCCCAAAGCCCCAAAGCCCGAAACCCCTACTAAAGGCCCAAACCCCTAAAGCCATAAAACACAAAACCAAAACCCCTAAAGCCTTAAAGCCCTGAAGCCCAAAACCCCTGAAGCCCTAAACCGGCCGTATGGCCTACAGGCCCGACCTTAAAAACTACGCCGACATCCGAATTCAAACCCCAACACGAATCCTATCCTCTATATCACGCCAGGTTCCGGTGATGAGACTGCCGGCAACTTCGGCCGAGCAGCTCAATATGCTGAAATGCTGGGTGAGGGTGCTCGGTCCTCGGATCAGGTAGGGTCGGCGAAGCTAGGATGTAGGGCTTGGGGGTTTAGGTTTTAAAGGTTTAGGCTTTACCTATAGTCTCCATTGTAGTTCCTTTTTTGGTTAACCAAAATCTCTACTATAGGATCCTAACCCTAAAACTGGTTAACCAAAAAAAGGAACTACAATGGAGACTCTAGGTAGCTTTAGGGTTTAGGCAGATCCATTCTTCCTTGTAGACACATGCTTGGCTGCTGTGTGTCCAAGAATACCAACCTTGAAACCCGGACCCCAAATCCCTGAGGCCTATAGACCCGAAACCCAAATGATAATGATTACGTTTGGGGTTTCCTACACCAAGCAAGTTGCATATCAGGAGAAACAACAGACCATGTTCGCAGCGGCCCAAGCCTCGAAGCCCCAAAGCCTAAAGGCCTGAAACCCATGCCCAAAGCCCAAAGCCGCAAGCCCTCGAGGCCCGAAACCCCAAAGAGTAATTTAGCTTTGAAGTTTCTACATCCCGCCCTCGGTTCAATATATTGTGTAATGTAAAGACAGAGTCCGTACTTTCAAAAGCAAAAGCCAAGACCTCTGAAAGCCCGCACCAAAGAACCCTTGGCCGTAAACTCTTAAAACCCTGATCTCGACAATCCCAAATACAACATACCAAACTTCTACCCTTCAAGGAAACCACCTAAGTCCCGACCTTGTGGTCTCTTGCTAGCCAAAGGGCTTCTGAGGGATTCTGGGGTATAGGATTTGGGCCCTGGGTTGAGGATCAGTAGCTCGAAGCCAGGCACACGAAGCGAAAATCCCCAACCAAACCCAATCTCTAAAGCAACCCCAAATGCAGCCAGTGGGCCCCAAGACCAGTTGGATCCGCTTCGGTCAACAGGTCCCCGGCTAAGGGTTTAGAGCTTAGGGTTTTATGGTATCATCCCCCTATTCTAGTTCTTTACACTCCAAGCCCGCCAGAACGAACCTAAAGATTGTGTTTGTTTTGTTTTAATCGCTGTCGAAGAAAACTAATCTGCCGAGGCCACTGCCAAGGACACCAAGCGGTGTCTCCGACAAATGCAGCACCCCAACGAGCCGGAGGAGAAACGGAGACAGGCCCCGAACGAGGAGAGAGATTGCCACACTTTCTTTAAACGCTGGGGTTTATCTTTGCCTGTGCCAATAACGGAAAAGACCTTCGTGCTGGAGGACAGAGAGAAAGCTGAGACTGCATTTATAAAAGTGCAAGACTGGTTGCTGTATCTCTTGAAACGCAATCGCTCATTGCTCGCTGGGGGCAACGAGTCTTTGGAGTTTCAACTGCAGGCCTACTGGATGGCTTACAGGCAGACTCACAGCACCCATCCGGTGTTCGATCGAGGGCTGGACCTCGGGACCACGATTCCATTGGCTTTTTATTCAGATGAAGGCAAAGGCCCGAAGCGAGGCAACTTCGTGGTGGCCTCCATCGAGTCACCGATAGGTTTGTGGGACGTGGCCGAGGACTTTTCTTGCACTTGCGAAGAGGATGTGAAGAAGGCACCGCAGCAGTTTGTTCCGGGCCAGCAAGCAGCCGGCCCGTACACGCCGATGGAGGAGGCCGCCCTCAAGCAAACACACACAAATAAAGGCCACTCCTACCTCACCAGACATGTGCTTTTCGGCCTCCCAGATTGGGTTTACAAACACCATCCAGAAGTTTTGGAGCAGCTGACCCAGCAGGTTGCTGACGAGCTCTCGCTGCTTTTTTCTTCGGGCCTGGAGGTTGGTGGGAAGGTTTACACGGCTTGCCTTGTTGGGATCAAGGGCGATATGAAACAAATCGCTGAAAAAATCGCCTATCTCAACAGATACTATGCTCGTTTGGGCCCTGTGAACTACAACGGTGTCTGTGCACATTGCATGGCGGGTACAAGTGCCGCCATTCCTTTCGACGAGCTGGCTCACGAGCCATCCTGGGCTTCGACGCTTTATCAGGAGCGACCTTGGGACTCAACACCTGGTATGTGCTCAGTTCCACACGACAACGATGCACCGGAAAGAGTTCTCAAGTATGACATGTTTCATCTTTTCAAGGTTGGCCTTGGACGTGATATTTGTGGCTCCCTGGTTTTTTGGGCCCGCCTTGGATATTACGATGATCCCAATGGCACCGACGATGCAAACATCGTCTCGAGGCTCAATCGTTGCTACAGTCATTTCAAACTGTGGCGACTGGCTGCCGGAAAAACGGCTGCAGTTCGATACTTTTCCAAGCCACTCTTCAATCTCAAGCGGCTCACCGATTTCGCCTGGGCGAACACCAAGGGTTCAGATACAATGCTTTTGTTGGAATATCTCAGCTTCTATGTGAAGATCCTGCTGAGAAGACCCAACTTGCCGGCCACGCATGCTGTTTTGTTTCGTCTGCTGAAGAAGACGATCCTGGAGTCCCAGAAGGCCTTCGCTTTGATGTACAAACATGGTCTGTGGCTGAGGAGGGCATGTGCCCAAAATCTCTATTTGAGATTGATGTCCGTACTGTCGGGCTACCAGCATCTGGCTCAGCATGCTTTGTCGATGAAGATGCCGTTTTTTGCACTGAAACCCAAATTCCACGGCATCCATCATGTGGCCTATGAGATCCGAACAGCATTGCTGACCAATGCAAAGCTCATCCCGAACCCCATCATGTGGGGGTGTGAGCAAGGAGAGGACCTCATCGGCCGAGTCTGTGCTCTATCGGTCAAAGTTTCGGTGACGACTATCAGCAAGAGGGTGCTGCAGAGACACTTCCTGAAAAAGGCGGCCCTCATTAGGAGGCACCGACAAGTCCGATCCTCCCGAAAGCTGCGGCTCTGAAGTGTTCCACGGGCTTGAAGTATAGCATCCCCTACAAATACTATATAGTTAGATCAGGTTTAAGGCCTAAGTTTAGGGTCTTAATACTGCAGATACAGGATGCCCAAGGAGCAGCAGGGCTGTCGCTCGGACTCCAGCAGCTCGGCACGGGATGGCCGCCAAAATGAAGGATGGCGCCGGAGGGTTGGGGTTTAGGGGTGCTTAAGGTTCAGGGTTCTGTGACGGAACACTTCGAGGTGTGGACTGCCGGGCTCTTGGGCCTTGTGGGGGTTTGAGGGCCTTTGAGGGTGCTTTAAGTTCAGGGGTTCGGGATTCTTTGAAGGAAAGCGGGCTCTGAGCCAGGATGCCTCGAACCTTCAAAACTCAGAGACCCCAAACCCTAAACCCCAAGCTCCTAAACCCTAAAACCTTAGACCTTCAGAATCCCCGACTGCATCTGTACTTTGCGAACATCGCCCAGCTTGAACCCAAAATCTCTTGAACCACTCTCCAATGCTCGAACATCGACCATCCCAGCCCTCAAACCTTTCAGGGTTTCAGGGCTTCAGCTTTTCGGTTGGGCTTGAAGGGGTTGATGTTCGGAGTGTATCCGTTTTTGCTGTAACCATTACAAGTCTAATGTCGTTGCCGGCGCTTTTGTTTTCGTGTCGGCGTTTCTGTTTATTGTCGGCGGTTCTGGGATCTGGCGCCTAAAATAAACGCCGTTTTGCTTGGCGGCGAAAATAAACGCCGAAGGATTGTCTAGGTATACACAACGATGTAGACTTAGACGCTCAGAGACACAGACATATAGAAAGGCGCATAAAGCCCATCCGCGCAGAACAGCTTGCGCTTCGCCTGTTTGACACGTCGCTCTGGAAAGACACGACGATCCACTCGGTGCTTCAGTCACCTCGCATGCCAAGTGGAAGTGCAAGATCCGCCGCTGTCCGTGAGCTTTTGATTGCTTAGAGCTTGTAGTGCTTCTACCCGCTAGCCTGCCCGCCACCATGCTAAGCCGTATGCTGGCTGCATGCCTTGGCGCCAGCTCCGTGATGGGCCAGTGCCCGAACCATCCTCACCTGGATCTGTGCTCTGCCTCGACAACCGCAGAAGACATGGACGTCAACGGTGGAGGTCGCAACTCAGCCTGGATGGCATGGGCTCTGCCTTTGCTGGCCGCTCGACCCTCCTTTGTCACTGCTTTTTTCGCTCTCGCTGTGGCAACGGGTGCAGATGCCCAGAGCGGAATGTCCTGTGGCAACATCCGCACTTTCTACCAAGCCCAGAGCTGTTGCGGGGAGTCGGAGCGGGCTCTCGACTTCAGCAGCAGCGAAGGCAGCAGCTTCAGCAACTCAGTTTGTGAGTCTGGCAGCCCGGTGGGGGTGTGCCACTGCGAGAAGGCCATGCAGCTGCTGTCGCAGGTGGATGGCGTGCAGTTCCCGGTCGAGTTCTGTGCCCACATGGCTGCTGTGAAGCCCGTTGGCTTTCATGACCAGCCTATCTGTGAGGCTTCGGATGCCGGCAACAATGCTGCTTATTTGGTGGACGGCATGGCCGGCAACACCAACTTCCCACATGGCAACATCAAGGTGCTGGCGACCGTGGGCGAGGTCGATCCCACGACAGGTGCCATGCTCACAGGCTGTACTGTTCAAACGAAGCGTGGCCCGCGCCCATGCCTTCACCTCTCCCAGCCCCCCTCTTGTCATTTTTGCTTCCACGTCTGCTTGTGAGCGATCTCTCCCGGATCTGCGGCAGGCGTCCCAGACGGCCTGGGGGCATACCTGAAGGATGCTAGCACGGTGCGGCTGATCTATCAGAGCGAAGCATATGGCCAGCCGCATGAGCCGCAGAAAGACACCGGGTAGTTTTTAACCCAAATCAGCTGGCACAGGGCACGAGGCACAAGTAGCCTGACAGAAATCGTGTGCCCCGAGGCTTGTGACATCCAACCCGGAGTCCTTCCCCTGGGCGGTGAACAGCAAGAGTGCTAGCTTCACCGGGTCTCACATCCACTACATCGACTACGATCGCAGCATGCTGGCCAGCTTCATGGACGACAACGCGCCTTCCAAAGCGCAAGGCATGGTGAAAGGAGCAGGCAATGCCGTGAGCAAGGCCTACAACCTGAAGCGGGAGCTTGTGGGGCCGCGGAATCGCACGGGCGACGGCCTCCAGCCCACCACTTCCAATGTGCACGAGAGCAACGTGGACGTGAACGGCAATTACATCGTCGGGAGCACCGCCACAGCTCCCAGCAAAGCGGATTGGCTCATGCAGTCCCTCTGCTCGGCACACCTGGAGGTGAGGCACCAGTGGGGAAATGGCATGGGCGTTGAGGACGACCTCTTCATCACCAATGAGGAGTGGATCACTTACCCTACGGACTCCATGCCCATTGGTTTGCCCGTGCATGTCTTGAACCTGGCGACAGGCGAGCTTTGGGCCACGGCGGCTTTCACTCTCGGTGGCCATGAGAAGGTGGTGGAAGTGAACAGCGGTCACAGAGACTACGTGGCCTTCGTGCCTTCAGGCTACAACGGCGCCTTTGGTCTTTCCGACGACTCTGCTGTGCTCGCTGCCCGCAACGCCGCGTATAGCAGGACGGATGGCAATCCATACGTGTATCCGCAAGACATCGTGCCTACGAAGCTCTACATCGGAAAGAAGAACACGGACAAGGATGGCAATGCCCAGACCACGGACTTCATGGCCAGGAACGGCTTCGAGTATGGCGCGCTCTATGGCTTCGCCGTGGACTGCAATGCTGTGAATCCTTCGCGAGACAGCTGGCACCAGTCAGCCTCTGCTGGTGACACCGTGACCGGTGCCTTCTACAAGCTCCGTTGGCAGGCGCAGCGGGGCACGGTGGAGAGCTTCGAAAAAGACGGAAGCTGGGAGTTCCAGGATGCTCCCGCGGGCGCTCCGGACGGCTGGTGCTTTTGGAATTCCAATGGCAAAGACAGTCGGGGGGCCAAGACGGAGCACGTGTCCCCAGACCCCAGGGGCGGCCAGCGCGTCTTGCAGGGCTCCACGGCAGGCTACTTCGGGATCTACGATTTCCAGGGCCTGCCCACGCTGTTGTCAAATGGCATGCCGGACTCCATCCCGGCAACCTACACAGTGCATCAGCCCGAGTCCAACGTTGTCGACCTCATTGAGCTGGGCGGTGCTGGCCTCCGTGCGGACGGCAACAACCAGACCATGATGCACGACAGAAGCCGTGACAAGACCACTTTCGAGGACCCGAGAGCGGTTGTTCTTAGGGGTGGGTTCGACGCTTGGTTCAGTTGGTTCGTGTCGTTGACTCGGACTGTTTTCCAGGACGTGGATGGCATGGAGTGGATTGCTGCAGCGAATGGGGAAGATTACTTCGTGATCCATGAGGATGGTGGGAACTTGTACGGTGAGCGCAAGTTCCTGGCCAAAGTGGGTGTCCCCATGAAGTATTACTTCGTGGCACAGAGTGGCGGCAGCCAAAACACCCGCGAACTGGCCAGCATCAGCTCGGTGGCTAGCGTGCATGGCAGGGCCACGTCCCATGAGTTCTCCGGTGCCTTCGACCTCTCCGGGCTGCTCCGCAAGGATGCGGCTGGCAACTTCGAGCTAACGGTGGGGGACGTCACCGGCAAGAAGCGAGCGCTGGAGGCCGCCACGCCCATCAACGAGAAGATCATCGCAGTGAACCTGCAGGCACACAGCAACAATGCCGGCTGGGCTGACACCTTCAAGACGGACCGTGTGGCTCAGGTCCTGGCATACAAGCCAAGGGTGCCTGCGTAGGGAGGCCAAGCTCAGGTACAGCAGCATAGCATACAAGCCGAAAGAATTTGCCTGCGTAAGCGACCACGCTGCAGGTACGGGATAGGCCATGGCGCCGAAAGACGGGGGGTGGGGTCCTTTTTTTCTTTGCAAGTACTCTGAGAAGAAGTTGACTATAGATTGTGCATCTCCCTGAAGTCCAAGCGCCGTGAACCTTGCACGTGAAACTCTTGACCTAGGCTTTGCCGCCTAAGTTTCAGCTTTTGGAGCCTGGGATGCAAAGCCTGCAGTGCTCTCCTTTCCCCTCGCCTCAGATCTCAGATACATGACGCGTTTTCAGAAAGAGCACAGGTGCTGACAAGCCACGGCTAGCCCTGTGCCTTTCGGCCAATTTTGACAACTCTTTTTCCCACTTGCGCGCTATAGCGGCGCTGGGCTCTCTAGACCCTCGGCTACCCTGGGCATCCGAAACGGAAGTGCCCAGCTCCCAGCCGAAGAAAACTAGACACGCCAGCGCGACCGGAGCTTTCTTTAGAAGGAACTGCCCTGCAAGACTCCAAGACCTTGCTGGAAGAAACTGAGTCCGCACATGCTTGGGGAAGACCGATTCAAGACTTCTGACCACGACTCGTCAGACGGCCCCCAACTCACTGTAGTGCAGCCTCCATGCAACGCAGGCTCCGTCCTGCCACACCACCTTCACATGATTCGGTCGTGGTTGTGGCCGTGGCTAGATGCACCGGGTGCTGCGTTGTGCGTCCTTGGGAATAATGCCAATCTTGAATTCCAGCCCAAGTCTTCTTGCAAGGGTACACAACGTCGTGGCCGACATAGCCATGCTGGGCTGAACACAATGTGCTTGGGACTTTCCAGCATGGTCCATCCAGGGCGACGATGGAGGGGGTGGGGCGGGTATCCGCTAACAGCTGCCACGTGCCGACATTCTGAATGCGGGTGGACCCAAGACAACGAACAGCCAGGTGAGGTGCTTCACGTGCATGACTACTCGTGGTACTTAACATGAGCATCGATATCAGTGCTCCCGCCGAGCAGCAAAGAGGGTCAACTGTTTATGCATGTAGGTGCGATTTGTAGAAAGAAGTCCCACATGGGCAGGTGCAGCTTGAAGCAGACATCGTCGCAACCGCCGGTGCGGATGCCACCGTGACCCTGCTTCTTGACGGTATGGAGGAGAGTTCCAGCTCTGACAATGATATTGCAAGCAAGCAGCTCTTTGCATGAACATTACTAATGCATCTCAGGCTGGCTCGGACACAGCCGCGGACACCCGTCGGATATTGACGAAAAGCCGCCTGCCAGATCTCTTGATCTATCTCATATCTCCCCATCTGTCAGTGTCTTTGTTTAGATCTCTATCCCACGCAAGTTTTGTATATCCGTGGCTGTGTCCCCAGATGTCGTAGACGAAACACTGACTGGTGGTAGTTGAATTGAATGTATACCATCCCTGCCATGGCTCAAGGAGCAAGGACGCGTCTCAAGATAGGCTCTCCTCTCTGCCAAATTGCACATCGCTTCGCAGATGTTAGCCACCAGCCACCAGCCAACACCTTCAAGTGCGCTCGCGGACCACGGCCACTCTGGCAGCTGGCGGCCTCCGGTCAGGCGCGAAAACAGAACATGTAGACATATACACAACGATGTAGACTTAGACGCTCAGAGACACAGACATATAGAAAGGCGCATAAAGCCCATCCGCGCAGAACAGCTTGCGCTTCGCCTGTTTGACACGTCGCTCTGGAAAGACACGACGATCCACTCGGTGCTTCAGTCACCTCGCATGCCAAGTGGAAGTGCAAGATCCGCCGCTGTCCGTGAGCTTTTGATTGCTTAGAGCTTGTAGTGCTTCTACCCGCTAGCCTGCCCGCCACCATGCTAAGCCGTATGCTGGCTGCATGCCTTGGCGCCAGCTCCGTGATGGGCCAGTGCCCGAACCATCCTCACCTGGATCTGTGCTCTGCCTCGACAACCGCAGAAGACATGGACGTCAACGGTGGAGGTCGCAACTCAGCCTGGATGGCATGGGCTCTGCCTTTGCTGGCCGCTCGACCCTCCTTTGTCACTGCTTTTTTCGCTCTCGCTGTGGCAACGGGTGCAGATGCCCAGAGCGGAATGTCCTGTGGCAACATCCGCACTTTCTACCAAGCCCAGAGCTGTTGCGGGGAGTCGGAGCGGGCTCTCGACTTCAGCAGCAGCGAAGGCAGCAGCTTCAGCAACTCAGTTTGTGAGTCTGGCAGCCCGGTGGGGGTGTGCCACTGCGAGAAGGCCATGCAGCTGCTGTCGCAGGTGGATGGCGTGCAGTTCCCGGTCGAGTTCTGTGCCCACATGGCTGCTGTGAAGCCCGTTGGCTTTCATGACCAGCCTATCTGTGAGGCTTCGGATGCCGGCAACAATGCTGCTTATTTGGTGGACGGCATGGCCGGCAACACCAACTTCCCACATGGCAACATCAAGGTGCTGGCGACCGTGGGCGAGGTCGATCCCACGACAGGTGCCATGCTCACAGGCTGTACTGTTCAAACGAAGCGTGGCCCGCGCCCATGCCTTCACCTCTCCCAGCCCCCCTCTTGTCATTTTTGCTTCCACGTCTGCTTGTGAGCGATCTCTCCCGGATCTGCGGCAGGCGTCCCAGACGGCCTGGGGGCATACCTGAAGGATGCTAGCACGGTGCGGCTGATCTATCAGAGCGAAGCATATGGCCAGCCGCATGAGCCGCAGAAAGACACCGGGTAGTTTTTAACCCAAATCAGCTGGCACAGGGCACGAGGCACAAGTAGCCTGACAGAAATCGTGTGCCCCGAGGCTTGTGACATCCAACCCGGAGTCCTTCCCCTGGGCGGTGAACAGCAAGAGTGCTAGCTTCACCGGGTCTCACATCCACTACATCGACTACGATCGCAGCATGCTGGCCAGCTTCATGGACGACAACGCGCCTTCCAAAGCGCAAGGCATGGTGAAAGGAGCAGGCAATGCCGTGAGCAAGGCCTACAACCTGAAGCGGGAGCTTGTGGGGCCGCGGAATCGCACGGGCGACGGCCTCCAGCCCACCACTTCCAATGTGCACGAGAGCAACGTGGACGTGAACGGCAATTACATCGTCGGGAGCACCGCCACAGCTCCCAGCAAAGCGGATTGGCTCATGCAGTCCCTCTGCTCGGCACACCTGGAGGTGAGGCACCAGTGGGGAAATGGCATGGGCGTTGAGGACGACCTCTTCATCACCAATGAGGAGTGGATCACTTACCCTACGGACTCCATGCCCATTGGTTTGCCCGTGCATGTCTTGAACCTGGCGACAGGCGAGCTTTGGGCCACGGCGGCTTTCACTCTCGGTGGCCATGAGAAGGTGGTGGAAGTGAACAGCGGTCACAGAGACTACGTGGCCTTCGTGCCTTCAGGCTACAACGGCGCCTTTGGTCTTTCCGACGACTCTGCTGTGCTCGCTGCCCGCAACGCCGCGTATAGCAGGACGGATGGCAATCCATACGTGTATCCGCAAGACATCGTGCCTACGAAGCTCTACATCGGAAAGAAGAACACGGACAAGGATGGCAATGCCCAGACCACGGACTTCATGGCCAGGAACGGCTTCGAGTATGGCGCGCTCTATGGCTTCGCCGTGGACTGCAATGCTGTGAATCCTTCGCGAGACAGCTGGCACCAGTCAGCCTCTGCTGGTGACACCGTGACCGGTGCCTTCTATACAAGCTCCGTTGGCAGGCGCAGCGGGGCACGGTGGAGAGCTTCGAAAAAGACGGAAGCTGGGAGTTCCAGGATGCTCCCGCGGGCGCTCCGGACGGCTGGTGCTTTTGGAATTCCAATGGCAAAGACAGTCGGGGGGCCAAGACGGAGCACGTGTCCCCAGACCCCAGGGGCGGCCAGCGCGTCTTGCAGGGCTCCACGGCAGGCTACTTCGGGATCTACGATTTCCAGGGCCTGCCCACGCTGTTGTCAAATGGCATGCCGGACTCCATCCCGGCAACCTACACAGTGCATCAGCCCGAGTCCAACGTTGTCGACCTCATTGAGCTGGGCGGTGCTGGCCTCCGTGCGGACGGCAACAACCAGACCATGATGCACGACAGAAGCCGTGACAAGACCACTTTCGAGGACCCGAGAGCGGTTGTTCTTAGGGGTGGGTTCGACGCTTGGTTCAGTTGGTTCGTGTCGTTGACTCGGACTGTTTTCCAGGACGTGGATGGCATGGAGTGGATTGCTGCAGCGAATGGGGAAGATTACTTCGTGATCCATGAGGATGGTGGGAACTTGTACGGTGAGCGCAAGTTCCTGGCCAAAGTGGGTGTCCCCATGAAGTATTACTTCGTGGCACAGAGTGGCGGCAGCCAAAACACCCGCGAACTGGCCAGCATCAGCTCGGTGGCTGGCGTGCATGGCAGGGCCACGTCCCATGAGTTCTCCGGTGCCTTCGACCTCTCCGGGCTGCTCCGCAAGGATGCGGCTGGCAACTTCGAGCTGACGGTGGGGGACGTCACCGGCAAGAAGCGAGCGCTGGAGGCCGCCACGCCCGTCAACGAGAAGATCATCGCAGTGAACCTGCAGGCACACAGCAACAATGCCGGCTGGGCTGACACCTTCAAGACGGACCGTGTGGCTCAGGTCCTGGCATACAAGCCAAGGGTGCCTGCGTAGGGAGGCCAAGCTCAGGTACAGCAGCATAGCATACAAGCCGAAAGAATTTGCCTGCGTAAGCGACCACGCTGCAGGTACGGGATAGGCCATGGCGCCGAAAGACGGGGGGTGGGGTCCTGTTTTTTTTGCAAGTACTCTGAGAAGAGGTTGACTATAGATTGTGCATCTCCCTGAAGTCCAAGCGCCGTGAACCTTGCACGTGAAACTCTTGACCTAGGCTTTGCCGCCTAAGTTTCAGCTTTTGGAGCCTGGGATGCAAAGCCTGCAGTGCTCTCCTTTCCCCTCGCCTCAGATCTCAGATACATGACGCGTTTTCAGAAAGAGCACAGGTGCTGACAAGCCACGGCTAGCCCTGTGCCTTTCGGCCAATTTTGACAACTCTTTTTCCCACTTGCGCGCTATAGCGGCGCTGGGCTCTCTAGACCCTCGGCTACCCTGGGCATCCGAAACGGAAGTGCCCAGCTCCCAGCCGAAGAAAACTAGACACGCCAGCGCGACCGGAGCTTTCTTTAGAAGGAACTGCCCTGCAAGACTCCAAGACCTTGCTGGAAGAAACTGAGTCCGCACATGCTTGGGGAAGACCGATTCAAGACTTCTGACCACGACTCGTCAGACGGCCCCCAACTCGCTTTGTTCGTGAATGTGGCACACTGCATCTTTTGGAAGAAGGTCAACCGTGAAATTCAAACGCAGTATGGTCCGGACGCTGTGCGTGGCCGATCTCACCCTGCTACACGTTCTTGTGCCTCGAAGGTGCGGGTGGGGCGGGTGTTCACGAACAGTTAATATGCGCGCATGCCCACATTGCCAGTGCAGGTGTGCTTCATCTGGTCAGTTTCACCAAGAGGATAAAGTGTGTTAGCTGGTTCTTCCTGGTGATGCAGGTATGTGCAGGCCAGCTTCGCGCAGAGCAGCGCTCGCAAGCGCTGGTGAGCACGCCACCGTGACCCCGCTTGACAGCATGGAGGAGAGCTCCGAGCTCTGACAGCCTGCAAGCACTCATTGCATGAACATTACTTATGCGTCTTATCACAGGCTGCCTCAGATGCGGCCGGGGACACCTGTATCACATTGACAAAAAGTCCCTCCACCCCTCCCCAGACCGGCGACGGTGGTCTTTCAGGCACAGCTGGTCTGAAGTAGTGCAATCAGAGATCCGGAGGCAGTTGACTGCTTGTCCTGGTGATCAAGAAGCAAGAGGCGTCGCAAGATAGGCATGCTCTCCAGTGAACTCGGAACAAGCGCACGATTCCACAACACGGGCTGAGTGATTCTCTGAGAGACAAAGCAGAAGCGAACAGAAATTCACGGCTGCCACCGCTGGCCGGTGCACCGAGCCTTGATGGATGGCCTCCGGTGAGCAGCTCACAGCTGCACTGCACTTCTCGGCACTTCTCTTTTCTTTTTCTGAATGCCCTTCCCTAAAGGATCCGGATCGCAGCCTGTCGGATGCCGAGCCGCCGAGCCTGTGCATTTTGCATGCCTCTGCCTGCCGCCTTGCGAGGACTTGCCTTCCTATGCCCTCAAGGCTGCTTTGCGGCTTGCAACAGGCCTAGACTTACACTCTTCTTCTTCTGGCCTGGCAGGTCGTCCCGGCGCCCGGGTCTTGGCGCTGAGAAGACCCTGCAGGAAAGCTCATTTATGGTGCCCTGCACCGGCTTTGCCCTTGCCATTTTGCCAACACCATCTGAGTTTCAGATCTTCCCCTCTTGAGCATACTAGAGTTACTGGAATTCGTCGCCCTCTTGCTACAATCCTCTAGGTCCAGGGGCGGCGGAGGCCTCTTCTTCCTTCGCTCCCAGAAGCGAGACCACGAGGAGCTAGGCGGCAAGCACAGATTCAGAAAGCGACAAGTCATGTCGTTGCAACATCGACACGAGCTCTACGGCTCAGTTCCTACGCTGACGTTTGTGCAGGCAGGGGTGGCGGCTTCAACGAGCGGCAGACGGCGACGGATCTAAAAGCTTGGCACTGGACTGCACTGACTGCACTGATAGCTCGCAAGCGCAGCACTTGTGTGTGAAAGGTCGATCATAACTCGGACGACGAGCTCTATGATGAGCCGCTGGCAGAGCAGAGCAGAGCAGAGCTGGGAGCATCGCTTCCGCCCGAAACGCCGAGGTTTGGCCGGAAGAAGCGGCGAAAAGCAAAGGCAGCCGCCAAGGATCCACTTCAGTCCCGCCACGCCGGGCGTAACGACGTCCCTCCAATTTCTTGTGCTTTCTCTCACCAGGCGCCATCCGAAGCCCAGCTTGGCGCTCAGGCGACACCCTGGATGAAGCAAGGCCTTGGACCCTTCTTTTTGTGAGGACGGGAGCGGAAGCGGAGTCCAAAGCCGACAGAAAGGAGCCGGATTTGCTGGAGCAAAAGGAGCAAAAGAGCACAGCTCCTACCGCGGTGGCGGCCAAAGCAACGGCACCTTCTGAGCCTTCTGCAGCCTCCGCGGCTGCTACCGCAGCCGCAGCTCGTGCTCGGGCCTTGGCAACGACTTCTTCGCTCTGCTGAGGAACTTGTTTGCAGATTGCTAGGTCATCGATCCCCGGCCGGGAAAGGGGGCCCATAAGGGGCCTTTGGGAGCTCAAGCCGGTGTGCTGGGCGGCTTTCCAACGCTGGTCGGAGGAGGGCCACAAGCGCAGGCCCAGTGGTGGCCACAGGGCGCCTGGCCGGCTGCGCCTCCGGCTCCCTTCGGCAAAGGCGCGCGCGCTCAGAGCAAGAACAGAACCGCACAGCACAGCTCAGCACCCTGCCTTGCCAGGTGTGCCGACGCCGTGGGCCTGGAACCAGGCAGCTCGCCAGTGCCGCAGTACTAAGTACACGTAGTGTAACCACCGTGCTGCTGCCCTGCCCGCTGCGCTGGCTTTTTTGCAGCCGTTCAGCGGCTCGAAACATGAGACCCAGATGGATTTCGAGTCTGTTTTCGGGCTTCCTCGCCTTCGGATTCTTCTGGACCTTCAGGGGCAAAAGCGCTTTCGCCCTTGGGGAAATGCGGGCGGCGCCAGGCCTGGCGAAGAGAGCTCAGTCTCCGGCTCCCGCTTGGCTCCCTGCAGTGGTTCCCTGCAGATCTGCAGGCGGCTCAGCGCCTGCAGAGCTCCGAGTGGTGGCCTACAACGTTTGCGGCTTCGGCGCCGGCTTCGGGGACGTCGAGGAAGCGATGGTCACCGAGGTCCCCTGCCGGCCTCTGCGGTAGCCGCAGCACGCACAGCAGATGTCTCCGCTGCAGGTCTACGGCAAGCTCCGCGAGGCACAGTCCAGAGGTGCAGCGAGAGGGAGAGGTGTGGTGCAGCGGCAGAGAGCAGCGGCCAGGACTTGGCCAAGCTGAAGCCTGACATCCTCTGCCTCAACGAGGCGCGCTGCGGCCGCCGCGGAAGTCGCTTACGGCTGCAAGGGATGTGGCGCTCTGCAGCTGAGGTGAAGCGCCGAAGGCTCCAGGACCCGCCTACGCCGCCGGTCACGCCTTGTGGTGGGTTTGTCTTGTCGAGCTCTCTGCTCCGCTTTGAGCTCCGCTCTGTCCCCCACCTCTCTGAGAGCCTTGTTTAGGCCTCGGCCCTTTTCAATCGCCAGGACGACTGCGGGAGCTTCCGGGAGGATACATTGGAGGCCTTGGCCGAAGACCTCGAGATGGAGTTCTTCTTTGCTCATGCAAATCCTGGCTATGAGACTTTCGGCAATGCCATCTTGATCGGAAAGAGGCTCCAGGTCCTGCATTGCGATTCGCTCCACCTCAAGGGAGGCTCTGTGATAACCCTTGGCCCTGGAAAGACCAAGCATATCGGTCGCGGATGCCTCTCAGAAGCCTCGATGCAATTGGCCGCGAAAATTCGGACACACCAACCAACAGTGACAGTGATGTTTCCCGGCTTTCTTTGGCTCAGGTATGTGTGACAGTGCAGGGCAAGCAGTTTGCCACGCTGGTGACCCACTGGGACCACATCTCTGAGGCGCGGAAACGCCGAGAGAGAAGCCTTAAGAGCTCAGCAGCTTGAGCACTTCCGCGCTTTGCAGAGGCCGAGCGGCTACGGCAAGCAGAATCCATTCTGTCCGGCCACACGCTGCTGTCTCATGATCTGCCCCACCTGCTCGTGGGAGATCTCAATGCTCCTCTTCTGCACAGAATGCACCCTTCAGTCTGAAGTCCTAGCATCTGAAGTGCAGTGCTGCAGATGAAGGCTATGAAGAGGTCAGACTACACAGACCAGGACGCAGCTTCCTTCGTACTGGTGAGTCGGAGAGACCGTTGTGCAGCTTTGCTCTGAGAGGAGTGGGCTGCACTGGAGGCCCGGAACGCCGAGAAAGGCTGGGCGCCGCCGGAGGACTCTGAAGCCCTCATGGTGCTCGAGAGAGAAGGCTACAGCGATCTCCATCGGTTTTTCGGCGGGGACGGCTGGGATGCAGGCGGCTGCAGTGAGGAGCTGTGCTGCAGAGCGCCCGTTCTGAGGCTCCGACTCGCGGATGCGGAGTCTTTGTGGACAAAGCTGGGAGAGCCGCCGGCGCGGATTGATTACATCTACGCTTCCAAGCACTTCTTAAGCGACATTGGCTCTTTGGCTTCACTATGACAACTATGAGGGTAGGCTCCAGCATGGCTGTTTTCAGCGTCAAGGTGAGCCCAAGACCGCTTTCGTTGCGACAGCGACAGGCCGCTGTCCGAAAGTTCTTCTCTTTGTGGCTCCGTTTCCCCCTCTCTAGGCTCGGACCATCTGCCCCTGGTCGCGGACATCCTGCTCTAAGCGCTCTAAGCGCCCTACCGTGCCCAAAGCTGGCACGGTTAAGATAGGACTGCGACTTCCGACGAAGTAGCTCAAACGTTTGCAAGGACTCGGCTGAAAGCTGAGGAAGGCTGAAAAGGGAGCCAGGGTGCCAGAGCCTTGCATATGGCAGCATGTGGCCGCAGGAGTTCGCAAAGCCGCAGGAGTTCGGCGGGAAGGGCGGCGGTGGCGGCACAGCCGGCGGCCGGAGCCTGGAGCCGAGGAGCCCGGAGGAGCCCGGCGGAGCCCGGCTTGAGAGAGGGGAGTCTCTCGCCGGAGTCGCGCGCCGAAGCTTCGCTTACCAGCGGAGTGGAACGAAAGCGCCATATGTCTCGGCTTTCAGACGACGGCTCACTTTCGCCACTGCAGAGTCACAACTCCACTGCTACTGTGTAGGAAAACGGCCCAGCAGCAAAGACATGAAAAGGAAAAGTGGATGAATGGGCGCAGCATGTTCCCTGCATTCTGAGAGCGGGCCTTGGGCCTTAAACTGCTTTGTTTGAGCCTTTTTGCCTCATGGCAGCCGCTCGCTTCCTTGAGCAGGCCGGGCAGGCGTGGCCCATCTCAAAAGCCAAAGCTGAAGCTCAGGTACTCCATGTTCGGCCGTCATGGAGGTCTAAGTCTTAGCAAACTTTTCTCAAGCCTGGGCGGCCCTTTCGTGCGAAGTCCGGAGGCCAGCAAAGATCCAGTTCCAGCACCTCACCGTAGCCTGTTCCAACACGGCTCCCGCCTTATGCTTGGCATGGCCGGGTCCTTTCGCGCCTTTCTTCCTTTGAGCAGGTCTACAAGGTTGCGTGTGGGGAGGAGCTTGGAAGCTTTTTTGGAAGCTTTTGGAAGCTTGGAGCTCCGAGCTCCTGCAAGGGGGGGGGAAGCTTTATAAGTGGCCAGGAGAAGCTGCTTTTGCGGGTTTACGGCTCCGACGAACACGGCCTCTTCCAGAGACCCCACGAGGAGCGGCCAGCGGGGATTTCAGCGAGGCCAGCCGGGGGTGTCTCGACGAGGTCTCGAGAGCTCGCTACGTGGCCTCCTGCGGCTTTGGACCCCAGGCGCATTCGCGCAACGCGCCTTCCATCGTGCCAGGGTCTACTTTTGCAGGTGCTGCACACCTTCGAGGAAGGTCGCATCGAGCAGTGGCTGGAAGGTCGATCTCCGACCTACGAGGACACTTGTGTCTCCCACGGTCGAGCGGTCACCCGGTCGCCGCAGTGTCGCTGTCACTTGAGACAACCTCAAACCTTTGCAGGAAATTCGGACGGAGGAGAGCATCCGTCGAATTGCCTGCAAGCTGCGCGAGTTCCACGACAGGCGCCCGGCGGAACGGAAATGCGCGGTGCCTTACTGTAAACGCCGTGAGCCGTTTCCAGGACTGGCCTGAACCACAACGACCTCCACCACAATAACATGTTGATGACCGAGCGCCGGGATCTGAAAAAGGGACCCTTTGCGATGCACTTCATCGCAACCATGCTGGCCCAGGAGAGCTCCACCTCCTAGATTTCGAGTATTCAAACTCTTTGGATCCAACCTACGATATCGCCAACCACTTCAACGCCTGGCGCCCATCATGTGAGGATTTACAAGTCCCCAATACTGGTATTTCAGAAGCCCCGTTCAAGCCGGCTTCAAATAGCTTCCCAGTATTCTGGACTTGTAAACCCCCACACGCTTGTATAAGGAGTCTCCTGAGGCTGAGCCAATAGTGGCTGTGATGCACCGAGGAGTGGATGTATCCGTACTCGGGTCCGAACCAGCACCTCTACCAACTCGGGCTCCTTTGGCGCCCAAGAACCTGGAGCTCCTGAAGCCCAGCTGTTTCTGCCGCTCTTCCTGAGGCTGTACCCGAGCTTGGCACAAAGGAGGCTCTTTTGCTCCTACTACCTCGGAAGCCCGCGTGGCAAGGCCCGGAGACAAGGGAGACCTTGAGAGGCAAAGCTGAGCTTCCCCGCTTCCCCGCGCGAGGGGGCCGTCGTGGACGACTTCCTCGCCCAGGCGACAAGACAAACAGAAACAGAAGAAGTAGAGAAGACAAGCAAAGAGAGGAGGGACCAGGGATGAGGAGGGCCGAGGATGCGCCGCAGAATCTCAGGTGGAGAAAAGGCGGCAGGACTCCCACGAGTTCTGGGCCAGGGCCTAGGAGCGATGTCGATCGGAGTCCGGAGCATGCGCTGTTGCGAAAGGTGCGCTGGGCAGACAGTACCCCAAGCAGCTTCAACAGAGACTATGCGGAAGCCACTTCCTCGGATGTAGGGATATCTCCAGTCTGCCCCGCCTTTCATGACACGAGCTTTCTCGTGAATGAGGCGCGCAGGAAGCTTCTGAACTGTCTCCGGCCTACTTGCGGCGGCATGCGCTCATAAGCCCATAAGCCCGTAAGCTGTGGGCTGTGCCGCAAAACTTTCAAGGTCCAAGCACCTCCAAGCTTTTGGCCGAATCGCAGGCCGGGCCGTTTCGGAGACCAAAAGAACCTTCCGCTTAAACCACTTTCGCTGTAGGCGCCAAGAGGAGCGGAGGGGCCCAGTGGCGGCGGCCAGCGGCATTCGGCTCCTGAGGCCTGGGTGTCTTTCGGTGTTTTTCTGAAGCCCAGTTGTCGCCCGTCGCCTTTTTCTGCCTTGCAGGTGGGCCGCAACGTGGCGGAGGGCATGGTGCAGACCTTCCGCGTCCTTCTTCAGGCTTCGGGGCTTCGGGGCTTCTACAGGGAGCCCTGCGGACTCGGCTCGAGCCGCTGTGAGGCACGCAGCGCGGCGACCCCTCTCTCCACGCCCAGTGTGCAGAGCGCCTGAGAGCGCAGGGCGCCTGAGAGCAGCGCTCGAGGCGAACACATCCGAACACCCTTTTTTTGGCTCTCAGAGCGAACCGGAACCGGACCCTGGCTGATCCTGGTCTCCATCAAGGCGCCTCAACTTGGCCTCCGCGCTTTGGTGGTGAAGGCCTCCAATGCACCAGTTGATGGCGCGAGAAGTCTCACCAATTCGACATTTCAGCCACCGAGCAATTGGCTCTGTGCTGTGTTTGCAAAGGGTTCCAGAGCCCTACCATCTCCACATCTCCACGTTCCTCTAACGCGAGGATCTTCAGGTTCTTCGCTCTTCGCGTGATCAGCAACGTGGTCTTTCTGCTCAGACACGAAAAGAGCGCCGTCAAAGCGACTTCTGAAAGCCTGCAGGGGGCGCGCCCGTGCGCGCCCGTGCGCTCTGAGTTCAACGAAGCCGAGGCTACGGCCCAGCGCCGCAAGGGCCGCCGCATGGCCCTGGCCCTCACTCCGTCGGCAGCGGGAGTGACGGGGCGGGCGCTTCCTGGACCCGACCGTCTAGAGCGAACTTCGGAAGCTGACGCTGAGGACTCCAAAAGCAAGCGCGCGCTTCGGTGCACTGCACCGCACTGCCGCACTGCACTTTTCGCAGAGCTTTGCTTTTTGCTTCTGCCATGCTTTTGCCTTGGCCTTTGGGTTTTTTCTCGTGGTCTCGCCGCCCGTCCGCCCACTGCCACACCCGGACCCAGGATTCTCTAGGCCTTCCATGTGTATAAAGGCGCCCGGCCCACTCCGAAGGATGGATCGATGATCGATGTCAAGGCACAGATCCTGGGAAAAGCAAAAGATACATATCAAGATATAGGAGTTATACAGATAGATATATATATATATATACATACATACATACATACATACATACATACAAGAAGAATAAAGACTGCATCAGCTTCCTGAGGTACCTCGGCTGCTTGCTTCTGGCCTTGGTGCAGGTGCCTGGAGGGGTTGGGTATGGCCATGGGCATTTCAGCCAAGCGAAGTCATCGGATGGTCGCTTGCATGGGAGGCAGTCGAGGAGTCGGATCTACTTGGCCTGGGCCTGGTGCCAGGTTTCGAACTTCTCTCCAAGCGAAAACCCCCCCGCCTTGCTGCCAAGATGGCGGGGCAATGGTCCGGCGGCATGGGCATGACTACGAGGAGGGTGCCCTGTTTTGGGACATGGCTGCTTGATCTTTGGCTTGACCAGGTGGTCGCGGTCAGTGCTGCTGGGGAACTCAGCCATGGACATGCGGGCAGGCAGGGACTCTCGCGAGTCCAAAATTAGGAGCAATACGAGCCTCTGCGCGTGTCGTGAGCCTGTTGGGACTGCAGGCAGCGTGGCCGGCAGGCCGCAAGCACAGAACGAAAGACACAAAGAAGATCATCTCTGATCCTTCGACCCAGGCCAGTCAGGCTCTTGACTCCGCATCTACGCCGGTGGCTGAGGGCGCGTTGGGGGCTCCAGCACCCGCTCCTCCCTCTGCTTTCGTGTCTGCGGACACGCTGACACCGCCACCGGGCGTTCCGGGCCTACTCGCCTTCTCGAGCAGAGTAGGCTTCATCCATCGAGCACCGGTCACGCCCTTGCAAGCCTCTGCCACCGCACCTCAGCCCAGAGAGAGTGGCAAGAGCAAGAAAGCGCGAAGCACGCCGACACCGACTCCGCAGGTGCAGTCGGCTTCTCAGCTCCTTTCAGAAAGCAGCCCAGAACTACCATCTCTGCCTCAAGGCACCGCATTGCTGCCTCCACACTGGCCCTGTCAGGGCCCTCAGCTGAGGCTTTTTTCAGCATCTGTCTCTCTGCTCTCGTTGAGGCTTCTGCTAGCCAGCGCGTTTCTCGGCTTCCTGGTAGTCTGGCGTCAAGCGTGCGGGCCCCAGGGTTCTGGGCCCCACAGGCTACAGGATAGTAGAGTCAGATGTGCTGTCGACTCAGGAAGGTCCTCCTGAACAAGCCCCGGGGCGACTTCCGCGAAGAGGCCGCCAGTGCTAGATCTTTGCTTTCGATGCCGGGGAGCCCTTTAAAAAGCCCCCCGCTTCCGCTGGGCCCTGTCTCAGGTGGCCAAGGCGCTGGCGCTCAGCCGATCCGGGCGGCCTAAGACAGAGGAGGAAAGGCGGCGCCTCGAGGCACGCTCTGAGGCAAGCGAGGCTCGAGGCGCCGGCTCCAGCCAGGACAGGAGCCCAGCAAACGCTGCTCTGAGCGCAGGGCCTCTGAGGTCCTTTTCGAGGAGTTTTTGGATCAGAGTCAGAAAGAATCAGAATCAAGCTGTTCAGAGATGTCTTTAGGGTTTGGCGAGTATCGCTCAATCTTCGACTTAACGAGAATTTCCTGAGGGCGAAAAGGGCTTCACCACTGAACTTAGCACTACATTCTGCTACATAACACGCGGTTTTCTACTCTATCTGTTGTGAGACACCGGAAAAGGGCTTGTTTCAGGACTGCCCCCATGTAATGTGGACATCGTCGTTGTCCACTCGTACAGCGTAAGACCAAACGATATTGCATTTCCTACATACGTGAATAGTTGCAGTTCCTTGCAAAGGCTGACGCGAAAGTTGCCTTGACGAAGTGAAAGCGCGGATGTCTCGCAGGGGGGAGGAAAGGCGGAGGGGCGGGGCACGGGGGAAGGAGCAGCAAGCGCATCGCTTGCAGAAGCGTGACTACTTCGGGCACATCCAGAGGTTCTCACAGAGGAGGGGGTGGGGCTCAGGCAGGGAGGTTTGGAGGGGACTTAGAGGCGGGGAAGAGAGGAACCTCCGACCGCTGCGGCCGGTGTCAAGGCGAATACAGTTAGAACATACCTTGCCCAGTTTGGGTAATAATACCACCAGACAATCCATTGTACGATTATTCCTATACTCCCCCCTACATCCCACCCAACGTATCACTACTACTTCCCCATTACCAAAACAAGTATAGCAATAACCAATTACCCCATCTATATTTAGGTGGTATTATTAGCCAAACTGGGCAAGGGGTTCCTTGTAGAATCTGGTTCAGGGTTAAGGGTTAAATCAAAGCTAAGGAGTGTACCACGAGATCGAGCGCGAATGACACGCCCATCAACGTTCACCAGTTGGCGCTGATGTTGCGCAGCATGTTCAAAGGGATGGACCATCCGTTGGCGTTCACCGTCAATTCGTTCCAAGCATTCAGCATATGTTTGCACGTGCTTGACAGCTATGTCTCGTGGGCTGACTTCCATACGGGCCAGCTTTTGTGCAAGTGGACCAACGAAATTCTGCAAGATGCCGACATGACAACTTACGAGTACCTCAAGTATCACGTAAAAGCGGTGCAAAGGGCAACAAGGAGATGCTTCGACGACATGCTGGTCACGGAGAACACAGTGTTACCGGATGCTGTGCGCCGTGGAACCGCCCGCCCGCACCATGAGAGCGTTATGATTATGCGCAGAAGGCCATCCAGGCTTGATGACTGACATGTGACATGCGCACCAGTCGCGAGTATAAATCAGGTTGTTATTGCCATCTATGAAGAAGAGGCAGAGGAAGAAGAGTCAGAAGCTGGCACTGGCCATGCCGATGTTTCTGGGCGCAGTGAGCCCGGTCCTCAGAACATGACGAAAGCTTTCTAGACTTTTTAGTAGTCTTAGTGTGGCCGAGCCAAGCAATAGAGAAGCAAACGAATCAGCTGTCGGTGCAACTACTAGGCCAGAGCATGATGTGCTTGCGGAGCGCGGCTGTACTCGCGCGCCAGATCTTCCACGAGCTTCGCTGGCGTCCTGCTTTATTCAGCCTCAGTCCGGGCCAGAGGCAGAGTTCCAGCATTTCGTCGCGAATTTCTGCCATGGTTTGGCGCAAGGAAGATCCGTAGAAGCTTGTTTGCGAGAGGTGCCGCCAGAGCTTGATCTGTGGAAAGCAATGTCGTGGCAAACTTGTCTAGCAGACTTCAAACAGGGCCTTCAGGACGTTAAGCAAGATTGTGTGAAATGTCGCAACGAAATCGAATCTTTTTGCCCATGTGGAGAACCATGCCTCTTCATTTGGCAGTGGTTTTTGAAGCCTTGGCGCGTGTCGTGGCCCTGCCAGTCGTCATGCTCTGGGATGCATGGAAAGTAGTGTGGAGCAGTGTCATGAACAAGGATCTCGCAGTGGCATGGGGCAACTACAGTCTCAGGCAGCGATACTGGGCGGTCGTAACATCAGATCCAGGAGCCGGCAAAAGCCCGGCCCTCAGCATAGTCATGGATTGCCTATCGCAGGCCATGAAGGACGATGCCTGCTCGGGCTTCTTTCCGGGCTACCAGGACGATAACTATCATGTGGTTAATGACAGCACACATGCTGCTTTCGCAGCGCGGTTGAACCGGGCCGATGGCTACGCATTGCTGGCAACTCCAGAAGCCTCTACAGCCTTGTGCCCGAAGTTCCCCATGTCAGGTGAATTCAACAAGGCGACCCATGTCGACTTGGAGCAGGCGCTGGAGGGCTCCACAGGAGGCGGAATTCATTGGGACACGCAGGCTGACGTTATTGCAAGGGCCCGCAATGCGAGAAAACAGGAGCAGGTTCCTGACAAAGGGGTGCACCACGACAGCATCAACATCTCTTTCGTTTTTTTCCAGCAGATTGCCATGCTGCAGTCTTGGTGGGCACAATCGGAAGCTCGGTGGAAGAAGGGCCGAACCAACCGTTTCTTGTTTAGCGCAGGCAGGCGCCCCGTCGAGTGCAAAGTTCCAGATGGGCTCGTGGATGCAATCAAGAGCTATCTGGTCAAGCTTTAAAAATTCTGTGTTCGAAACATTGGATATGCGCGACGGCCACGTGGCCCAGTGGAGCTTCTGCCTGCAGCTCGAGATGCGCTTATGGAGGCAAGGGCAATTGCAGGCGTCCTGGCGCAAGAAAAGCTGCATGGTGATCACGGTGCTTTACACACAATGTTGGAAAAGATTGCGCCATGGATGACGCATGAGAGCCTGGCCAACAGCATCATGATGCAAGCCAGCGCGTTCATGATTGAGAGTGGGTCTTCAACTACGCAGCCGCCCGCACCCAACGTGCTCGACGACAGCCTGGCGCAGCTGTCCGCGCCCATCGTCATCGATGAAAGCAGCAGCAAAATGGCTTTGCAGTTCATCTACCTGCGCCTTGCGGCCTGGCACAGATCAGCTGCGACGATTTCGAGTGACCTCATTATTTAGTTTTCTTGCAGGGCAACATACCCAGTCGTCTAAGCAAATTTCACACTTCTTGATGCCACATAGCAAGGCTCGAGGGTGCAACATGCTCGATGTCGAGATCAGTCGAAGTGCGTGGAAAGGACGAGACGGCAGTGGTATTCGGCAGTTCGTGGGCAGGTACGCAAAGCAGGTCGGGTCCACCTTGAGAGAAGATGCCGCAAGAATTTTGACAGCTGGCCCCGATTTCGAGGTGCACAGTGACATGGTTGCCCGTGCCGTAGCGAAGTTCCGCAGCGTTTTCACCGGCACGCTGTCGGAGCGGCAGGAAGCACAGGCCAAATTGCAAGAAGTTTTCATGTACATGCAGGAGCAGGGGTGGGGCACTGCGCATGTGTGCAGCCACGGATGGCCGTACTTTCGAAAACAAACATGGCAATCTTTGCCACCTGCAGCCCGCAGAACGCTGCTCGACATGGAAGTCCCCATCTTCAGTTTTCAGCCGTGACCGGCTGCAACTGAGACCGCTGCGGAGGCACCAGTCAAAGAGAGCCTGTGCAGCCAGGGAGAGGCCACAGGGGAGCCGCCTGCTCCCGTTGCGAAGTTTGAGCCTCGGGAGGAGAAGGAGGAGGAGGCATCAACCCCGTGGGAAATTCTTTTCGAAGGACCCCCCTGCAAGGCCGTTGAGAATTACAAGTGTTTGCGATCCGAAGTTGAGCACGTGGTCGGAGCAAGGCGTGATCCCGGCATCTACACTTTCGTGGACTTGGGTGTTGAGGGCCCGACGCGCCGGCTGAAGGCAGCGTGCAGGCCGGAGGCGTGCAAGGGCTGCACACGGCAGGTTCGAGCATCCTTTCGGTTTGTGGATGCTGGCCCACTTCTCCAGATTCGTGCGCGGGGTAAGCATGGGGTGTTGCAGAAACACCCACCGATTCAACAAATTTTACACAACTGGCGGACGGCCCATACCACGTGGCAGCCGCAAAACAAGCCGATATGCACGTGCGCATCTTTACAAGCACAAGTTTCCTCAGACCACATCCACAACAACCACATTGCCATTCAAATGGCAGAATTGCAGCCACAACATGGTTTTTAGCATAGTCCGGCAAAAGCAACTGCCTACCAAAACCATCACACCAATTTTGTGCCGGGGAGATGTAATGGTGGAATGCGCTGTTTGTGCGCTGTGAGACGGGCTCGTAGGAATTGACGCATGTTGTCAGTGAATCGTGGGTGCGACAGTGCATGTACGTACATTGGTTTTGTTGCTGATGGGGTTGTAAGTCTTCGCTTCTTGAAGACTGTGTGAAGTGCTTTTTGTGCATGTCTGCGGTCTCTGCGTGGTAGATTGTTGGTAAGTTTGTACAGTGCGTAAACTGTGGAGGCCGGTGTGTCAGAGCGTAACAGCTGACGCACCGTGTCGAATGTGGTGCGTGTGTTGGAGCTGAGATGTGAGACTGTGAGCCATGCCTGTTTTCGGGTCTCAAAGAGTGGGGAACTGGTGAAATGCCGCATGGAATGGTGTAGTTTTCCTCTGCGGAGCTTGGCCCATAAGGAGGCTGTGCTGTTGTGCGTGTTGTTGGCGGTTTTTGTAAAACCTGAGAAGGCTCTCTTCATGTGGGAGGTGATGTAGGGAAAATTGAGCTTTGCCTGATGATGCTGTATAAGTGTGTTCTCCGTAGCTTCCAACTCCCTGGCTGGAATGTAAGCCTGCAGGACAATCGGGGTGTATTGGTGATAGCACTTGTGCTTGTGCCACCATCTAAGTGAAAGTTCGGCTTGCACAATTTTGTGTTGCTTGAGCTGTTTGAACTTGCGGTTGCGCGTGCTCTCCCGTTGTGTCATTGTTTGGCTGGTGCAGCCAATGTAAACGAATCGTTGGAGGTGTTGTCTTGTGGAGATACGGCAGTAGACAACCTGCTGTTGCCTCCCTCTGGACGGTAGCCGAGGAGCACATGCTAGCAGCCAAGATTGGTGAAGGAGCCCACATCACAGCAAAGCTTGTGCGAGCAATGTTCGTTCAAGCAAGCCAAGATGCCGTTGCGGTGCACGGACTCGCAGCTGCATGCCTGGGTTAGCAGGACGCGGAAGAATCTGTCTGCGCTTCCGCCGAAGCCCAAAAAGTTCTTGGTGGCAGAGATGTACACTGCGGCTTGTCCGTTCATTGGTGACTTTTCGCAATGGCGCGCTCAGCCGTTGCACAAACTCATTGTGCTGCCCAGTCCTGTGTTCGAGGAGGGCCGCGTCTGTGCAATCTGGACCTGCCCGGGCATGTTGAGCCGTGCAGAAGCTGTCCAAAACAAGGTCGTGAAGCTGGCCGTTGACGGCAAGCAAAAAATTCTTTCGAACAACTACTCCGTGCTGACGCTGTCCTTCCTTGTGTCGAGTGAATATGTCACGCAAACGCGAGACTGCCGTGCTCGTGTCAGCAGCCGCCCGCATGTTCACACCTTGACGCAGGAGCCATTTATGCAAGCACTGGTGAATTCAGAAACAGAGGAAAACGTCGCAGAGTTCTTCAGTGCGGCTCCAAGCAGGCAGTAAAATTTAAGCTAGTGTAACAGTGTCAGAAGAAGTCAGCTAGAACAGCGCTTTCTGAGTGTTCGTGAATCTTCATATGCTTGCTCATGTTGTGCAAGTGGCGAGAGCGAAGAAGAATCTCGCAGTTGGGCCATGTTCGTTCAGATTGCCATCTTATAAGGCGCGTGGAGTCGGCAATGCTGAATAGTGACAGTCCTGCTTGACCTGTCCTCAGTGTCGTGTCAAACCTGTGCCAAGGCAGAACGGTCGCAAGAAAGAGAAGACGGACAGCCTCTTTGACGCAGTCTGGCATTTGACTTTCGCTTGGCTGCAGCACGTGAGCAAAGATGCCTGCACTTACTTAAAGTCTACTTCGACCAGGTGAAGAGGGTCAGCCTGCAAGGTCAGTTCTGGTGTGGAGAACCCGTCTGGAATTCCAGCTCTTGCTGGTTTGCGGAGTTTTGGGCCGGTGTGACCGGAACATACCCCAGCAATGGGTCAGGCACACAGTCCCTGGAATCCTTCCATGCATACTGGCAAGATGCAGTCCGGAGCAGCGTCCGCTCTGACCCCCGGGCAATCTTTGCCCGCATGGAGAAACTGTTCCAGGAGGACTGGGCAAAGAGGTTCCGCTGGGAAGAGTCTCGTGTCTTCCAGACCTGGCCTCAGTACCCAGCGCAAGAACTTCTGAATGGACAGGCTCTGCGCACAGCCGGGCGTTCTCCGGCCGTGGACTTCTACACGGAGCGAGGGCGCAAGCTCTGCGGCCAGTGCAACTACTACAAGATGCATTGGCGAACAGACGCCGCGACCACGGACGCCTCCGGCAAGGACGGCACAACCGTCTTCTATGTCATGCGTTGTTCGAAAGTTGGGAATGTGCCGCCGGCGCAAGCCACCATCACGAAGGAGACAGCGCAGACGGTGGTTGGCCTCATCGCCAAGGATGGCGCGGCCTTGAAGGACCAGCTCTTGCAGGCAGGCATCCTGAAATCGGAGAACGGACTGGAGACTTTGGATCTACCAGCGCTGCAATTCTACCTGAACAAGCACTGCTGTGTGACGAAAGGTCATCTGCCAGATTCCTGCTGGCCGCGCCTCAGGCGCAGAGTGCAGAGAGCCTTTCCATCAATAGTGTGCACGTGCCTGGAGTTCCTGCTGCGCGACGATTGTGAGCACGTCGTGTTCATCAAGGCCGTCGAAGGTGAGAGCAACATAGACCTGCGCAGCATTCCCGTTGTTCGGACGGCCGGACGAAAGCGCAAGGCAGATAACACAGCAAGTGCTCCAGAGGCAAAGAAGCAGAAGAGGAGGTCGCGCCTGTGAAGACCCGCTGCCGCCAAAGCGTCGCCAGCCTCAGCATGAGCGCCCTGTGACAGACTGGTCTGACTGGTGCCAAAAAAAGCTGCGTCCGCAGGCTGCGTGCAAGCGAAGCACTGCTAGTGTATGCGTCCTGTGGTCTGATGGTCGCAGTGCTTGATCCCTTGTTCCGATTGGTGAGCAAGCAAGATAGTTGTCTGCAAGACATGTTTGATGCTTCACAGTTCTTAAGTTGCTTCCAGTAGTTGAGATACAAGATCAACTTTAGTCAATGAGCGAGCAATGGAAGGCTGCTCCTGCGCAGCAATGTCTTCGTGTCATTGTTCGGGAAGCCAGGAGCACCGTCGCTGCCCTCAACGCGGGCAGTGCCAACGCCTGCCGCCACCGCCGGCAGCGCCAGATGCGTCGCCGCCGCCGGGCAGGCCAGGCAGGCCGTTGAGATCCAAGCGTCGCGCTGCAAACGGACATTCCTTCCTAAGGCTTGCAATGAGCCACATCAGTATGGCATTCATGCTGCAGAGAACGTCGTGCTGTGGACGGACATTCCTACCCAACACGGGCAATGAGCCAAATCATGCGAGCCTTCTGCGTTGCAAATGCAAGGGCTGCGCGCCGCCCCACCAACCCACTCTTTGTACATGTGACGTCGCGCAAGCTTGCTTCAAAGGGAATGGCATGCCATCGGTGCACACTATTTCTTCAAGTGCAGTCTTTCTACGAGCAGTCCGTTTGCAAATGGGGGGGCCCCCACCCCCCGCTGTTTTCAAATCTTTAAGCCCTGAGACCTTGTGACAAGGCAGGGCGTGCCGTCAAAGGACAGTCCTTCATTCTGCAAAGAACGTCGTGCTGTGAACGGACATTCCTACCCAGCGCTTGCAATGAGCCAAATCCGGCGCTGTGAACGAAGATTCCTACCCAACGCTTGCAATGAGCCAAGTCATGCGAGCAGTCTGCATTGCAAATGCAAGGGCTGCGCTCCGCCCAACCAACCCGCTCTTTGTACATGTGACGCCGTGCAAGCTTGCTTCAAAGGGAACGGCGTGCCATCGGTGAACACTATTTCTTCAACTGCAGTCTTTCTACGAGCAGTCTGTTTGCAAATGGGGGGGGCTGTGCCCCCCCCAACCCCCCCCCCCCCCCCCGCTTTTTCAATTTTCAGCCGGTCGTGCCGTCAAAGGACATTCCTTCGTGCTGCAAAGAACGTCGTGCCGTGAACGGACATTCCTACCCAGGACTTGAAAGAGCCCGTGATTTGGCTCGTTCAAGCCGTGGGTAGGAATGTCCGTTCACGGCACGACGTTCTTTGCAGCACGAAGGAATGTCTTGATGGCACGCCCTGCCTTGAAGCGAGGTCGCAGGGCTGAAAATTGAAAACAGCGGGAGGAGGGGGGGGCGACGAGTCCGAGTCCAACTGTTCTGTTCTTCGTGCCAGTGAGCATTCGATGTTTACAGTGAATCTTGAATCTCAAAGGTCCGTCCGTTCACGGCACGACGCTCTTTGCAGCATGAATGCTATCCTGATTTGGCTCATTGCAAGCCTTAGGAAGGTGTGCGTTTGCGGCACGAGCCATTGTCAACACTTCTCCCTCATTGCGGCTAAAACAAGGCCGTCTTCCACGGCCTTGTTTTAGCCGCAATGAGGTAGAAGTGTTGACAATGGCCTAGGTTGCTGCTTCATGCCAAGGACACCTCAGAACTCATGACACACCCACACCAAAGGGTCCAACCGGCACCTGAACCCGAAGGGCTCTACTCAGCACGGGGGTCAAATAAGCAAGTTTCCGGGGTGGGAATAAGTGGTCAAGGGGTGAAAAAGAGATGTTAGGGCCGTTAGGGGGTTAAAAAAATATGCAAGGGGTGGAAAAATATGTTCAGGGGTTAAAAAAATGAGTCGCCCCCCGAATCTGAAATCTGCCTGCCAGGGATTAGGATCTGAAGCGTGGAAGCGTGGAGAGAGCTTGTCAAGACTGTTGAGGGTAACCAAGCATTCATTAGCTCGGTGGGGTGAGCGAACAAGGACAACATCAACATGAAATCCACACGCATTGTGCCTTGTTGAAACAGTGAGGCTTCCGGTGATGGCTTATGTAGACAAGTGCATGATAGTTCAGGACGACACAGCACAATCGTGTTTAAGAGTAGAACACACACATCAAGACGAAGAAAAGTATTGCACACTGACAAGGTTTATATAATTATATACCAACATGATGCAAGTCTCGAATGAATGGCCGCCATTATGCAGAGTGGTGGGCTGTAGCTGCCTGAAAGGGAACAAAAGCCTTGAGGCCATGCCACAGGCCAACGCTAGTAGTCAAACCAGCAGAGCCGCGGCGGACGTGTTGAAGGGGCGGGGGCAGGAGGGTGCTGTGTCCGCGGTGAGGATGGCCAGCCGCCACAAAGCAATGCAGACCTTCACCTTCAGGCAAAGATTTGCGCTTTTCCGAGACGCCCTCTTGGAGACTGCTAGCTGCTAGCCGAGGGCAGACGACGAGTTGCGTCTCTTGCTTCTGCAAGCTCGGGAGAGGAGTCTCGGCCATTGCGAAGAAACCCCAGCTCTGAGCGTTTTTTTCATGGAAGGACTCGCCGAGAGGTCGAGATCCGGATAGCCTTCAGGCTCGACTTGCGTGGAAGCGGGTTGTCTCTGTCTGCAGACGGCGCGAGGCCACAGCCAAGGCTGTCTCTGGGACTGCTCCTCAATGCTTCAATGTCATAGGCACTCTGCGAAGCGCCACGTCCTTTACGCCGAGGCCCTCTGCGAGCAGTGAGCGCTTGGAGACGGAGCCAGAGGAGTTGGAGCAAGCGGAGGCGGATGCAGCAGGCGGCTACCGCAGGCCCTGAGGCGCATAGAGACCAGAGACCAGTGTGGGAAAAGAAGATGCTGAAACGTCGAAGAACCGAAGTGCGGAGCGGCTGAGAACCAGAGCGGAGGGTTGGAGCTTGGAGCCTTTGGTAGCACCGCGGCGCCGCGCAGCCATTTAGGCCCCTTGAAGTGGCTAAGCACGGCCATCGTTTCGCCCTGTTTCGACTTAGCTGCCCCGTTTCGTTTCAACATTTCAAAGATGCTGGTGCTCCGTTTCGCATTGCTTTTCATCCTCCAGGCCGAGGGCTGGAAATGGATGGCCAAGATCAAAGCCCCTTCTTTCAGCAGAATGCAGAAGGGCTCCAAGTTCGGAGACAAGAAGCCCTTCGTCCAAACAACAGCGCTACTCTTTGCGGCTTTGTGGGATGCAGCAAAGTTGGTGGATGGGTATGTGTGAGTGAGTGAGTGAGTGTGTCTGTGTCTGTGTGTGTGTGTGTGTCTGTGTGTGTGTGTGTCTGTGTGTGTGTGTCTGTGTGTGTGTGTGTGTCTGTTTGTGTGTCTGTGTGTGTGTGTGTGTCTGTGTGTGTGTGTGTGTCTGTGTGTGTGTGTGTCTGTGTGTGTGTGTCTGTGTGTGTGTGTGTCTGTGTGTGTGTGTCTGTGTGTGTCTGTGTGTGTGTGCTGTCTGTGTGTGGTGTCTGTGTGTGGTGTCTGTGTGTGTGTCTGTGTGTGGTGTCTGTGTGTGGTGTCTGTGTGTGTGTCTGTGTGTGTGTGTGTGTGTCTGTGTGTGTGTGTCTGTGTGTGTGTGTGTCTGTGTCCTGTGTGTGGGGCCGTGTGTGTTGTGTGTGGGTCTGTGTGTGTGTTGTGTGTGTCCCCTGTGTTGTGTGTGTGTCTTGTGTGTGTGT